ACTGTCTATGTATGGGATTTGTAAATTATATAAGGTTATGCTACATGGAATAATAATGTGAATATATTGTATAACTGATAATTCATGTATGAACATGTTATTCGTAATTTATAAGAATAACATTTTTAAATAGTAAAAAAACAGAGGTTTTAGTTGCACAACTTTTGCAAAATATGTGGAAGCCACAATGCCTCATCAAGGCCCCTCTGTGTAATGTGGTTCTTACTGTAATCTATGAGAGCCTCCATCTTGGAGCACACAGTATATAGCAAAGGACAAATTGGATGCAGGTATGCCTGGAGGTAGCCCATTCTTCCTTAAAGGCATAGGGACACACCTGAAGCCCCCAGTGTGTTTCCACACCATATCCAACCAGTGAAGCAAATAGCAATCACACATCAATTTATAACTAGATTTTAAAGTAAGGTGCACATAGAAGGGCTTTACATAGTGCAGTACTGTGTACAGACCTTGCATGTGCACCTTACTTTAAAAGCTAGTTATGAAATGATGTGTGTGGTTGCCACTTGCTTAACTCCTACTGAGAGAGGGACATGAACAAGTAGTGGTAACAGCAAGCTCAATGGCTTAGTCCTGGTGAATTTTGACTGTGCACAAGTAACGAAGGCCTTGTCATAAGTCGTTCTCCTGGAAGATGGCTACTAGACAGAACAAGAAAGAAGAGAGATGGTCTTGTGAATGCCAGGATGGCCAGCAGACTTGGAATCATGTAACTGTTGGAAGAATCTTAAGTCGAAGCTGAAAAAGAATGAAAACCAATTGACAGAGGTACTATTAGAAGCAGATTTCTGAACAGCCTGGAGCAGAAAGGAGGTAACGGGAGAGAGAGTAGCAATGATCTTGGCAGGAGACAGCTCAGTAGATAACTCCAATTCCAATGCCCCTTGTTCTACATCTCGACACCGCCACCAGAACTGACTACATAAACAGCCCATAACTACATAAAAACAGCCTTATTGATATTATGTTTTGGGGCTGGATTACTTTACTAGCAAGTCTGAAAATTGCCAGAAGGTCTGACTTGTCCAAGACGATGTGTAGGCATAGGAAAGGTTCTCTGGGCTGCCCAACCTCCATAGTTCTTCTATAAAACATCTTGGTTCACTGCACTTGCCTGTGACCAATTCATAAAAATTATTAATTGGCCTTAGCTGGTTTGGTTACACACACATATATGCCAATGCAAATAGAAAAAGGTAGAACTGTAGCCTCACAGCTGACAGTTTTTACATACAGTATATGGCTTAAGGTTTGTGGACACCTGATGATAACTCCTACAGTAAATAAGCTTGTTGGACATCCCATTACAAAACCATGGGCATTCATATTAAGCTGCCCCATCTCCCTTTATAGATTTAACAATCTTCACTCTTCCTGAAAGGCGTTTGACAAGATTTTGGAGTGTGTATGTGGGAATTTGTGCCAGCTTGTGAGATTAGGTGGTAATGTTGCATGAGGACTGGCTCACAATTAGTGTTCCAGTTAATCTCAACGGTATACAGTAGGGTTTAACTCTGCACTGTAGGCAGACCAATTGAATTTATCCACACTAAACTTGTCAAACCATCTCTTTATGAACCTGGTTTTGTGCACAGGGTCACAGTCATGTTCAAAGAGAAAAAGGCCTTCCCCAAACTGTTGCCACTAGGTTGGAAGAGCACAATTGTCTAAAAATACTTTGTAGGCTGTATCTTTGGCAGTACCCTTTGACTGGAAACTCCTGAAATCAATAATTTGGAGTGATGTCCACATGCCTTTGGCCATATAGTGTAGCATCTAATGGCTTGCTGTGAGCAATATCTTTATTCACCTTCTCTCTAGTTTTTACATATCAATTAACAACAGGACCTTTTTCACATTTACATGCAGACATCAGCCTCATTTATTTTACCCAGGTCTTGTGACCCAGATTTCCAAGACACAAGGCTGCTGCAGTCATCAATTAAATAGTCTTGACACTTTACTCATATGAGCAGCACTCCACAGCTTCTCAACAGCAGCCGCTATATCTGAGCTAAACTCCCCAGCACACAGAAAATCTCCCTTAATATCCCATAAATATATCAACAAAGCCTACACCTTCTTGTCAAGCCTCGGTTGGTTGCACGGCTGCTCCAAACACTGAAAGATAGTGTATATGAACTTTTATTCTAACCCAAAGGCAACTGACAGTGCATACATGATCAAGATTTAGTTTTCTATTGAGTAATATGAATCAAGTAACCATGCTTTACAAAATACCTTATTTATTAATGTGTAGTTGTGTGTCCCAGTAGATGAAAATAATGCACTTCTAATGGACAAGTTCTTAGGAATGCTGTATGTCTTCTGAGAGGTTTTATGTAAAATTGCCTGTTCTGAAAAAGCCATTTCAAATCTCCATTTATACAATTTATACAACACATGGAGACAGGTGCCAATGTATCATAAACTCTAAATTGAAAATCTATTTTAAGGCATGCATTTTTATGAAATATTTATTTATGAAATAATGCCCCACATGTGTCAACTGAACTGCTTTTTATAATATATAATACACAAGTAGCAAGTAATCTTGCATGGTCACATAAAAAATGAATCATACTATGGTGGGGGAGAATTCTAAATAATGTAATACTGGCTGATGAATTTTACCAGTTAAACTAAGTCTACCTTGAGAGAGCATAAACAACTGTTTTACTTGCCTTCTTGTCAATCCCCCGCCAGGTGGAGCTCTTCTCGCTGACACTCGGATTTGTAGGTGGGACCTCCTTGTCCTCACTTACATTGCAGGACTGCTAGTCCTGCACTGTATGTGATGATGTCAGAGTGCCTGTGACCAAAAAAAAAAAACAACCAGGAAAAGCAGCTTCCGGGGACTGGTCGTGCAGCTAGGAAAAAACCTGGAGTGAGGATTAAAGCAAGTAAAACTGTTTTTTATGTTACCCTTACACTAGCAGGATGCCAAGTGATTGCTTGGGAATGGGGGTGGTTAAACTCCTGAAAGTGAAAGTAGAAGTTAGAAGCATCTGCTGTAAATTTTGAGAAGCATTTGCTTCACATTGCAATTAACTACAGAGGTCCGACTTGTTTAAGACCCATGTACTGCTTGTTAACAAAATGTAAGCATTTGAATGTCCGTAGCTTAGCTACAGTTGCACTTTAAAGTGAACCCATACCCAGAGTATGTACACTTAAGAATTTACACATTTTGAATAATCAGTACTAGCACTTTAAAACAAACCTTCTAATGTTCACACACAGCAGGTTTTTCTAAGCTGCTAGAAACCAACTGAATGTTGACTTTGCAGTTGATGTTGTAATCTTTGAGGATTTTTAAGAATGGTCTTGGAGAAGTCAGGCATGGCTTCTTTTGAATCTTGTTTAGGAATATGTACATACTACATGTAATGTATCAAAGTACCACGTTTTAAAATCTTACTTCTACTGCAGAACACCCACTCCTACATATCATGTCTGAACTGTTGCCCAAACCTTTATACAATCCTGTCTCACTGAATGACTCTACCACAAAAGCCTTTGGCACTTGGAGATAGCCTCCTAGGCATAAAATAGAGAGATCTTATACTTGTAAGTCCTTAGACGTGAATGGGAATGAAGAGTGCATGCAGGCACCCAGTTGGGAGGATATTTAACAAGCTGCCAGGTGACTCAGGTAGTGATATCAGGCTGGATCAGGGATAGGTATAAGTATAAAACTGGTGGTCTGGGGTGCTCTGATATAGTGTAACTGATCAATTTTAAGTGCAGCACCATATATCTCTGGGCCCCATGGTCAACTCTCTCCCCTGTGGTTAACAGCTCTGTGTCATAATATAGATTAAGGCAGAGCTCTGGATGGGAGCCATATTTACATACCAAATTTAGCTAAGCCCTCTGACCAAAGTTCTCCCTCACAGGAGCTTTCCACCTAAGGTTGGCTTTAAGCTAAAGAAATGCATGTGATCTCCTGCAATTGCTTTCTCATTCTGACATCTTTCTGGTTTAGCAACAGATTTTTGGTTCAGCAAGAGTTATTTCCATTGCTTGCGATACAATTCGCCTCTCTTGGGTCTGCACAGGTATAGCAAAGTGTAATACTACAGGACAATGGAAATGACCAAATCTGCTGCAGGATACTTTTAAAACATGAGAGGAAAGCAGATCTAATATGAACGAAATATATTGAAACAGAAGGAAATCTTGTACAAGCCAGGTATGGAAGACACTTTAAAGAAGTACACAGTATATTAACAGGCAGCCTCTGAATTCAGAGGAAGCAGAGTTCCTTTCTAATAGTATAAAGTCCTAATATTGTGAGAGGCAGCATTTCCATTATTTCTGGTGAGATGTGTCTGCTGTGAGGTCGATGAGATGAACAAGAATGTCTCCTAGCGCTAATGAGCCTTATCACTTTGCTGAAGGAGATATATTGCTTGTTCATAATCCTCAATGGCTTCTTTGGCCATTCCCATTTTTCCTCTGGTATCTGCACGGAGTTTGTACATCACTGGATCTCCAGGCTGAATAATCAAAGCTGTAAAAAGCAAATCACAATAGTGAGACAGATTTAAATAGTGGTCTAAACATTAATATCTACTCTGGTAACTCTTTAATTATAGTATTCTTTATATGAATTCCATATGCCTTTTATATATTTTTTTTTTCTCGGTACCAGATAAAACATTTGCATATGTATAAGCACATTGACTGTAGACACTCAAAATATGGCCCTATACAAGTAAGGTGTGAAGAGTATATCAGTCTAGAGAAGATGAAAATGTGGTGCAGGCCACAGCTGTCCTGAAGAATGCAGCTGGGATGGGTGGTGGTCAGATTAGTTGAGCTAGGGAAAGTTGGTTAGTGTAATTGTTAATAAAACTACAGCTGTACTTTGTGTATCCATGAGAATGCACTGCCAGACCCACATAAGACAGAAAATGTTTTAGTCTTGTTTTTGAAAGAATCAGCTTTGGGAGGGTGAATCCATGACACCACTGACAAGCTCTTACAGGGGACAGTCCTGGCTCATATTCCCCAACAGTTAATGGTGCAAACTCCCTAACAGTGGCGTAACTACCACCTCAGTGACCCACGTGATCGCTATGGGGCCCGGGGCAAAGGGGGGCCCGGTAAGAAGCAGGCTGAGGCACAAATAGTCCCGGACGGCCCGGATCGCCTGGTATACCCGATGGCAATCCGGGCCGGCTGCACTCAGGCTGGGGGAGGTAATCCTGTAATGTCCCTTAGAAAAAGGCTGCCGCCGCTCTGGCGTTCAACCAGGAGCAGGACCGGCTCTAAGCGCGCCCAGGGGGAAGGAGTCACATCCTGCAGCCTCTGTGCTGCAGCTGTCTCCAGGGTCTCTCCCCTCACAGAGACATCTGCGAGCTGTCCATTGAGGGCCACCCGCAGAGAAGTCTCCCATCGTCTAAACTGTCTGTGAGGCACCAAGACCAGACAGTGCCCGAGGCCACATGGACTGTGTGGGGTTCTCCCGGCCCCAGAGGCTCTCTTCTTCTCAGCCGACCTGCTCTGCTGTCTCTTCCTGGGATCTCCGGGGACAGAGAACAGGTTAATTCAAGCTTTTACTGTATATGCTAGTACTGATTGAACCGTGCTAACAGCTCAGCCCTGTTTATACGTGTGTGTGTGTTTGTGGGCCCTGTGATTTCTAGTTACGCCCCTGCTCCCCAATATGCAATAAATGAAAAACTAAGCTGGGAAAGCAATATCCCCACTGGCATACACCCCATCACAGGGCATCCTAACTATTTAACCAGTTTAGTCAACAAGTAAGTAAGACATTGTTTGGAAACAATAACTAATGAGTATAATGAATGGGCATACCCTGAGATATGTCACTCTCAGCTTCTTCATACTGCTGTAACGTATTATGTAAGCTAGCACGATTGAAGTATGCAGCAGAGGATACTGGGCACAGATTAATGACCATGTGGAAGTCTCGAAGAGCTCCTTGTACATCTTGTAAAAGCATGTTAGTTATGCCTCTGTTCAGAGCGGCCGATTCATTGCTGGGATCCAGCTCCATGGCTCTAGAGTAGTAGTCTTTCGCCTGCAAAATATACAAAATAAATCTTTGATTTGCACTGAAACAAATGAGTAAAGTATAAGTGAACGTGAACCGGCTTGCTGCTAAATTATTCAAGTGGCAAAAAAAATGGAAGAGAATAATTGATTTTTACAAACTAGTTCAACATAAAACAGATGTGTGTGGGCAAAGCCAGCCTCCTTCGAACCTCTTATCACTGACTGACACAGAAAGATGTGTCCTAAATAATATAAAACAGCTCTAAGGAATTATTCATGCTTGGCAAATACTCTCTTGTCCAGAAAACCACTAATGAACATAGCTTAAAATACGTACATCACTGGAAATTATTTGCTGGAAGACTGCCATAGAGCTTTGTATTGGAGTGATATTGGGGCTTTCTGAATAATGCAAAGACAAACTGTAAGGTAAAGTGTATCTAAAGCCAAAAGTTTTGTTGTTAGAACAGGAAACGTTTAGAACCCCTGTCAGGTTTTTATTGTTGAAGATGAATAATAGCAAAGGGGTTTAGAATGTGATTGTATTAAATATTATTCTCATGTATATCCAAAAACCTGTCCATGCATAAAAAAACAATAATCCTACTTAAAGTGCACAATTCAATTTTTATAACATATATGTTGATTTATCTCGAAAATCAAGATTGTCTGCTGAATATTCCTAATATCCAGAGGGGATATCCTCAAAGGAAAATAAAAATCCTATAATTTCTTTATTGGAGTAGAGAGGTAGGAAGGGATGTGGCATTCCATTAAGGAGGCGGTGTGGAGCTGTGAGGGAGTAGTGAAAAAACACAGTGTACTAGTTGCTGAGCACAGTGCTTCTGCATGTGTGACTACAATGAGATGCACAATGAATTTGAGACAAAGGCATTTAGGAAATGTACAGTGGCAAAAAAAGTATGTGAACCCCTTTAGAATTAACCGGTTTTCTGCGTTAATTTGACATAAAATGCGATCTAATCCTCATCTAAGTCACAACTGATAACACACAAACAATTTTAATTCAACGTGTCTTTATTGAACACACCCATTAAACATTCACAGTGATGGAGAAAATAGTAAGTGAACCCTTGGAGGCAATAGCTAGTCGAATCGTCTTTGGCTTCCTCCGTGGTGTTCTGCCATGGGCACCCTGCCTGTTCAAAGACTTACGTATGGTAGACTCAAATACAGGGATATTTGCCAGTTTCAATGATGTCTTAAAGCCTTTAGCTGTTACTCGTGCGGTCTTCTATACTTCATTGAGGATTCTGCATTGAGCCTTGGGAGTCATCTTGGCTGAGCACCCACTTCTAGTAAGAGTAGCCACAGTACTAAACTGTCTCCATTTACTGTATAGACCATTTGTCTACCTTTTGACTACCCATTTATTGACCATTTGTCTACCTTACACTTTGAGATTGCTTTTTATCCCTTTCCAGCCTTATCCAGATCAACTACTCTCGTATGTCTTCAAAGAGCTCCTTTTTGCGAGGCATAGTTCATATGAGTTGATGCTTCTTATAAACAGCAATTTTAAAATGTTTAAGTGTCTTTTATCATGCAATTTGTAACCTGGGCATGTTGGGTATCGTTTTACTCGTTGTAACCTCATCTTTTATATTTCATTAAAAAAATTGGTATTTTGTTGTGTTTTGGGGCATTTCATTAAATTTTTCACTAAATATTGGGGTTTAATAAGGAGTTGCGCTAATATTTGCGCAACATAAAAATTTGCAACTACCACCATTTTATTCTATAGGGTCTTGGCATTCAGAAAATATATAATGTTGGGGGGTTTTAAGTAATTTTCAGGCCTAAAATGTGGAATATAACATGGGTACAAAAAATGAAAAAAAAAGGCCTCAGTCATGAAGGGGTTAAGTAGCTTTTAACCACACCTCCAAACTCATTTTATTAATTAAACTCCAGGTGAGCAAGCTACTGACTCCGAGTAGTTTCCGTTAAAGTAATTAGTCTATGGGTATACACATTTTTTTCCTCCAGCACTGTGAATATTTAATGAGTGTGTTCCAAAAAAGACACAAGAAATTAGAAATGTTTGTGTGTTATCAGCTTAAGCACATTGTTTTTCTATTGTTGTGACTTACATGAGGAACAGATCACATTTTATGGCAAATTACTGCAGAAATCCAGTTAATCCCAAGGAGTTCACATACTTTTTCTTGCCACTGTATAGGGATGTGGTTTCTCAGCATCCATTCAAATGTCCTTATTCACACCTATACTTAGTGCCTCCAAATAGTGAATGAAAAATGAATTAAATAATACCCTCACCGTAAAGAATTACAAATCATATCCTTCAATGATCCCACAATTTCACAATTTTTAAGAAAATATTGTGACAATCCAAATCATACAGTTTATAAAGATAAATAAGTGTTGTGATATTCCTAGGTGTTATAATATTCCAAAGTCCATAAATGCCAAATGTCCTGTGTATTTCACACTACCTCCATGCACCTCTGTGCGCCCCCCCCAACACAGGAGACTCATCTGAATTATAAAAAAAAAAAACAATATAGTAAGCGCACTTCTCAGAAACTGGGTCAATGTGTAATTAAAACGACTTGTGGAATGTGGCGTGCAAGCTCCTCAAACAGGGAGAGGAACCCTGTGAATACAATAAAAACAAAATCAAAGAAGCGCTACTGCCCTTTAAATGTAAATCAGTAACACAGTAAGTAAAAAACACATGTGTGTTTAAGTGTTTCAGCCTACCAGTGTAACCATGCGGCTGGATGGACCAAAATGTAACAGTTCAAAGGGGTTACTCACTGTTGTAGGCAGATGGATGTCACAGGACTGTATCACTGCCGAGGGGGGAGCCTGTGTGCAATCTGCTGTTGCAGAAGAAAGCGGGCTGAGAGGAGACTGTGACCTGTACTGTGCCGTCAGAGGCAAGTGTGTCTGTAAAAGGTCACGGTTGGGGTGCTGTCTCTCAGTAGTGTCTCAAGGACTCAGCTGGCCAGGCTGAGCCTTGATGGCTACGTTAAGGTCTGGCGAGGGGACCGCTCAGCTGCGGTCAGACTCGCTGTTGTGGAGCGGTATAATTGATACAAGGAGTGACGTCAGTGAAGGGCTGGATGTGGATGGTCCAATGGCTACACGTTTCGAGGCTGATGCCTCTTTCTCAAGCCGGAGCAGGGAGTCAAGAACGGGCGGGAGTTTCAGGGGTTGCTTAAATTTGAAAGGTGGGCGGAGCCACCCGCAATGGGTCCATTCAATTGGTGGAGACTCAAAGGGGGCTATGGCTTGAAGCTCGTGCCGATAAAGTAGTTGGGCTGCTCGTGTCTATTATGCTGGTGGAATTTAGAAGCAGTTTAAAACGCAAATTAAAACATAACGTTTATTTCTGTCTTTGTTAAGATTAGCACCTGGGGAATGGAGACTGTAAGAATGGATGAGGAATAAAAAGGTGTGCATGGCTCTTACATTCATTATGAACGTCTGTATTAGAACTTATGGACATTCATATTGTATTAAAAATGTTTTTTTTTAAATTGTTTTTTTAGAAGAGGCCCATGTAGTGGATAAAATGATCTGAGAGATAAATGTATATATCAGTGTAAAACTGTACGTACATATAACCATATATAAAAAAAAAAAAATACTTCATATACATATGTGCATATATTAAAAAATAGATGGGGTTACATACATATGGTCATGGTGTGGTCATGTAGAGCGTCACTTATAGGATTGTATGTATCTCAATCTCCTCGTTTAGACCAGTGGGTGTTAGTGTGTTCAGTTTATAAATCCAAAAGGTTTCTCTCTTGCATAACAGGCAAAACCTTTCGGAAGTTGTCAATTTGGTTCATATGTGTTCAATGGCGTAGACGTGTAAAGCCTTTGTGTTTTTATAGTGTTTCATGGTGAAATGTCGGGGGACACTATGCTCTGTGTCTCCCTTCTCGATTAACCGTCTGTGTTCACGGATTCTTTTCCGCAAAGGGCGCATGGTGCGTCCAACGTAGATCAGGCCGCATGGGCATGTGAGACTATATATCACATGGTCATGTGCACAAGTAATGAATTGGTTGATTTTGTAAATATTGTGTAAATGATTGCTGAATTAACTCTGTCCATGATGGATGAATTGGCATGTGAGGCATTTTGTTTTTTTGCATCGGAAAACCCCCACTCTATTATCAAACAGGAAATTGTTCTGGGTTTTTTTTAGGTTGTTTGGATAGTTTGTTGGGCGCCACAAGGTTCTTAATGTTTTTGTTTTTTCTGAAATTGATGGATGGTTTGGGCGGTAACAGGGGGCCTAGTTTTGGGTCTTTTAGAAGGATATGCCAATTATTGTAAATAACCTTCTGTATAGCTTTATATTTGTTATTGAACGTGGTGATGAATCTAGCATTATTCGTTGGAGGTCGGTCTTTCTTACTGTTTTCCTGTTTATCCATTGTGAGATATTGTGAATATGCCTCATTGATGAGATCTGCGGGATAGGATTTCTCAGAAAATGTCTTTATGAGTAAGCGACTAGAGGTGGTGTAGTTATTCCACATCCATTCTTAAAGTCTCCATTCCCCAGGTGCTAATCTTAACAAAGACAGAAATAAACGTTATGTTTTAATTTGCTTTTTAAACTGCTTCTAAATTCCACCAGCATAATAGACACAAGCAGCCCAACTACTTCATCGGCACGAGCTTGGAACCACAGCCGATTTGAGTCTCCACCAATTGAATGGACCCATTGCGGGTGGCTCCGCCCACCTGTCAAATTGAAGCAACCCCTGAAACTTGACTCCCTGCTCCAGCTTGAGAAAGAGGCATCGGCCTCGAAACGCGTAGCCATTGGACCATCCACATCCAGCCCTTCACTGACGTCACTCCTTGTATCGATCTATACTGCTCCATAACAGCGATACACAGCGAGTCTGACCACAGCTGAGCGGTCCCCTCGCCAGACTTTAATGTAGCCATCAAGGCTCAGCCTGGCCAGCTGAGTTCTTGAGAGACAGCTCCCCAACCGTGACCCTTTACAGACACACTTGCCTCTGACGGCACAGTACAGGTCACAGTCTCCTCTCAGCCCGCTTTTTTCTGCAACGGCAGATTGCACACAGGCTCCCCCCTCGGCAGTGATACAGTCCTGCAACATCTATCCGCCTACAACAGTGAGTTACCCCTTTGAACTGTTCATTTTTGGTCCATCCAGCCGCATGGTTACACTGGTAGGCTGAAACATTTAAACACACGTGTTTTTACTTACTGTGTTACTGATTTACATATAAAGGGCAGTAGCGCTTCTTTGATTTCGTTTTCATCTGAATTATTGTGGCCTTGTATGTAAACAGCTCATAAAATGCTTCCCCAATATGAAACTCCTTCCTTTGATGCAATATTGCTCCAACTTTGGCTTTGTATGTAAAAAGGTGTTCTGAGGTAATAATATTCTGGCTCAAGGACAAATGTAGCTCCAAGAATAAGAGAAATTGCCCATAGTATAAAACCATTTTTTTAATTTACAAGTTACAGATATAATAAAAAGCCCCAGCACAGGTATAAACAGCTCCAACACTCCCTGCTGCTTCCAACTTCACAGCACGTACAAACAGAATGATCTCAGCAAGCTCTGCTCCATTTCTTTTAAACTATTCTGTACTATTTTATATGTTTTTTTTCACAGTAGCCATTGGTATTATTGATAAGATTTGCTTTTTCGTAGCGCGGAATCGTATTCTAATCTATTCAAATGCATTTATGAGGACTAAATGGACATAGCTATTTAAAGATACAGGGTGGCACAGTGAGGCAAATATGAATTTATTTTATGACTTAAGTGATGCGATAATCTACAATATCTGAAAACAGATTTTCAGTTTGATACAAACTGGAATCTACTGTAGCACACAAACATGAGACTGGAGAGGCTGAAGGTTCTTCTGGCAAAAGAATACTCTCATCTAGTAAATGCCCTGGACCATTTTCAGGATTTCTGAATGATGGGTTGGAGTCAGCAACAACTTTTAATATTCAGGATCCATTCAAACCTCTGCAACTTCTAGACAGTCAGAAACAAGTTGTCCTCCAGAGCCCTGGTCAACTTTTTCCTCAAGAGAAAATCATTCAGGTAGCCCACAATCAGGATACCTCAAGAGTGTAAAAGTGCCAGCACTGGAGCCAGCACCTTCTTGAATACCTAATATACACAGAACAGGCCAATTGGAAGGGTCACAAACTGTTAGTGCAGAGGTCTCAAAGATGGATACATGTAAGTAGGCATCCTTTAAGTCCACCTAGGTCAGAAAATGCCCTTGTTGCAGAGAGGCAATAACAGATCTTATTGATTCAATATGGAGTCTTTGAACACAAATGTAAGCATTTAAGGCTTTGTGGTCCAGAATGGGGCAAATTCTCCCTTTTGAACTTGGGAACAATAAACAGGTTGGAGTAAAACCCCTTAAAATGTTCCGAAGCAGGAACTGGGGCAATTACTTCTGGGTTCAAGAGTTCAGAGAACAGGCCAGATGCTGAGGAGATACTGGAAGAGAAAAAGCAAGGAAGGGGTAGGAAACGAAATTTGAGTTTGTAACCCTGCAACATCACCTCTTGCACCCAAGCTTCAGGTATGAAAGACTTTGAAGCATCTGCAAAGGCCTTGGCAAAATGAGAGATGGCCAGATCCACAGCTAGAATGGACCACTTAGTGACAAACTCCTTATTAAAAGGTGGAGCAAAAGAGGTGTGCTTCAAATCTTCATAAAATAAACTCCAAAGGTAGGTAGTATGAAGCTAATGTTTTGGAGGCCTGAAAGACCCTGTAGGATTCAAAACCAGATACAGCATTGGTAGAAGAAACAGGCTGACCTTTCAGTTTTAGGGGGGTGCCGCATTGCATCAACAAGGGACAAGGCAATCTCTTTAAATTTAGAAGTAATAGCAAAAGAGCAACACCTCAGAGAGTTTGTAAACCCTTAAGCCAGGGTCCGAGATTAGCTGGGCAATCTGCAACATAAAATCTTGTATGACTCTAGTCAAAAAAAGAATTTGAAGGAATAGACTCCAACACTGAAGTTCAGTCCAGTGCCTACAAACCATAGTTAATATCTTCAATGTGCCTCTACTGGGATCGCCCAATTTCGTAGAACCTGTTTAATGGTTTGCGCATCCCAGAATGTAATGCAGTTGTCTTGGCCACCATCAGAGATGCACCCATATTGAACTGTGGGACATGACAGAGAAGTGCCTATGTTGGACCTTCTGTGAAGCTGACTTGCATAAGACAACCTGAGCTTATGAGACAGAACGGCAATACGTTAAAAGAGTATATCTATACTCTGAAGGCACTAAATCATAATGAAAACAAAGGCAAATGCAATGCTGGGAAATGCACTCAATAGCACAGGCAAATCACTGGACAGGTCAAAAAATGTATGGTGCATGTTGGGTGAATCAGACATTTTACTATTAAAAGTAATAGATTAGTGAATTGCAAAGTAAAAAAAAACAAAACCCACTGTGACTGATAACTAAGATTTTAGTGAAGTCCTATAACTGCTTCATTTGGATACATTACCTGTGAGAACTGACGATTGTGGAGATACATATTGGCTGCATTGAAGTATGCCAGAGGGTATTTTGGATTGGCTGTAATTGCTGATTGATAATCTCTCATGGCGTTAGGCAACTTCCCCATGAACTGGTGAATAACACCTCGGTTTGTTAGCAGCTGTGCTGTTACACCAAGCTGTGGGTAGAAGAGCAAAAAGTGACATATTTATAAACAGTTTGTTGTGTTGTATTCTTGAAATAAAAAAAAAGAAACTGTTTACAGCCTGCAACAGACCAAAATATTATGTAAATATGACAATAAAGAAAATTCAAGAAGGGTTGTACACTCCATTTATAACATAGTCTGTGGACTGTTATTTATTCCACCATACATATTGGATACATTTTTGTTCAATCAATTTTATTGATTTTAAAGTTTTTGTTTTTTGCAAATGTAAATAGTGCTTACAACCAGCTGTACACACAGCCCAATAAAAGAAGACATAAGTAAATAACATTCAACTCATGGCTCCCAGATTTTTTCAAATTTAGGTAACTTATCTGCCTGGACAGCTGACATTTTCTCGAAAAACATGATTTGTGAGACCCTAGGTTTAACTGCTGCGAAGGGGACTGAAGTGGTACGCCATGAGCTCACTCTCTTGGCTTCAGTAAGAATATGGGTGACCAACTTAAACTGGGTCCATGAGCATGATACCGTTTTTTTACCGAGTAGAGCTTCAATCTGATTTTTGCGGAACGAGTGACCTGTTACAGTATAGATTAGCTGATACACCCTAGACCAAAATTGCAGGATCTTGGGGCACTCCCACCATATATGAATGAAGGATCCATCAGCCTGGCATCCTCGAAAGCATAATGGGGACCTGGAGGGAACCGCACGGGAGATACGCAGAGGGACCAAGTACCATCTCAGTAGGAGTTTATAGTTCGCTTCCACCGCCTGCACAATCTAATAACTTTTTGCGGTCGTGCACCAAATTTGGGACCATGTGCTTGCCTCAATGGGGCCCCCCAATTCCTGTTCCCATTTTGAGGCATAAGGGGGAAGCTCTCCCTGTAGGGTGTCCATCAAGGAAGCATACAGGTGAGAGATGAGACCTGGGCCATGAGTGTCGAGCGTTAATAATTTTTCGAATGGGGTCATAATGGTCAGGTCTCGGATAGATCCAGCACACTGCTGCAAAAAGTGTGTAATCTGTATTAATTGAAAGAGATCTCTAGGAGTAAGCTGATGTTTCCCTCGGAGCCCTGGGGGTGTCACAATCCCTACAGAGGTGTAGTAATGTCTAGCTTGGACTAGAGAGCGAGCCCTCCATTTACCAAAAGCCGACGGATTCTCATATCCCAAAGGGAAAAGGGGGTTCCCCTGTATGGAGAGAAGGGGAGTGTGAGGGGAAATCCACTTCTAGGATACCTTAAGGGCATCCCACAGGCACAGTGTATGTTTAGTCATTGGGCATGTGACAGTTTTCCGCATCTTGGGGGGTAACCACGGTAGATTGTTTAAGAATATGGAGTCACACAGATATGCCTCCCATGGAGACCCACAAAGGTACCTCCTTCTCCGAGTGCCACGTAAAGAGGGGAACCATCTGTGCAGCCGCATAGTACTTTTGGAAGAGAGGGAGTCCCAGGCCCCCTTGTATTTTGGAGCGGTATAAAACTGATCTAGCAATTCTGGGGATGGAGCCGGACCATATAAACCGAAGGACCTGGCGCTGGAGAAGGCGGAGCCGGAAAGCAGGAATCGGAATGGGCAGGACTCTGGCAAAGTACAAAAATTTAGGTAGAAGAGACATCTTCACTGCCGTGATTCTACCTAGCCATGAGATACAATGTTTAGCCCAGGAGACCAAGAGCGAAATTAGGTGAGTAAACAATTTAGGATAGTTGTCATTATACAGAGTGTCATATGTCGGGGTTAGCTGTACCCCCAGATAGGGGAGAGCGGATTGTACCCATGCATAAGGGAAGGAGGATTTTAGGGAGTCACAAAGGATGGGCGGTAATGAGACATTGAGTGCTTTTGATTTGTTTGGGTTAACATGTAGGCCTGATAGTGTTCCAAATTGGTGCAGTAGTGGCAAAAGATTGGGCAATGACTTAAGAGGGTTGGAGATCATTAACAGCACATCGTCCGCGAATAGGCTAATTTTGTGATGGTACCCTGCCGCTTCTATTCCTTGGATGTCGCTGTGAATGCGGATAGCTTGGGCCAGAGGCTCAATTGCCAGGGCGAACAGGAGAGGGGAGAGAGGACACCCCTGCCTGGTCCCCCTGGAAATCGGAAAGGTCTTCGACCTGAATCCGTGATAATGCACATATGCCGAAGGAGTGGAGTACAGTGAGTCTATCCATCCCATGAATGACTGTCCAAAGCCCCAATGCCGAAGCACCCCCTTTAGGTAGTCCCAGCCAATGGAGTCAAATGCTTTGGTAATGTCTAGAGACAACAACATGAGTGGGATACGTCTGGAACGGGCAATGTGGAGAATTAGGGAAATGCGACGTATGTTGTCTCCTGCCTGACATCCCGGCATGAACCCCACCTGATGCTTAGACACCAAAGCATGTATATGTGAGTTCAGAGCCAATATTTTTGTGAGTAATTTGATATCTATATTAATTAGGGATATAGGCCTGTAATTTTCCCAAGATGAGTGATCGACATGGGGCTTGGGGATCATGCTGATGGCCGAGACCAAGGAGTCTCTAGGTGGCAGGAGGCCCTTGCGCAGATCATTGAAAAGTGTAACTAAGTGGGGGGGAAAGTACGTCTGAAATTTCTTTATAATATAAGGCCGTGAACCCATCCGGGCCCGGCTGTTTCCCATTATTTTGAGTTTTAATGGCATTCTGAACTTCCTCTATCGTGATTTCTGAGTCAATGTCCGACTTAGCTTCCTCCGTCAGGGTAGGAAGGTTCAGGTGCGAAGGATTCCAAGGCAAGTGGTGGGTTTTGTCCCTTAGACTGATAAAGGGCTTGAAGGCGGTGTTGAAAAGTCTGGAGGATCTTAAACGGATGAGAAGTCAGGTGGTCTCGGTCGACTCTCAATTGTATCGGGGTATGCTTAGGGCCAGCTTCCAACATTTTACATATGTAAAATTTATGTTTCACCCAACACAACTGTGCCTCCGCCTTGTGAGTCAAACATAAATTCAGTTCCATCTTGACGGATGACAGCCTGGACCTATTTTCCACTGATGGCACCTCCTGAAAAGCCTGGGAGGCCCGTTCCAGTGTCAGTTCCAATTGGCGTATTCGTTCCTCCCGCTTCCATTTAATTTTAGAAGCCAATGCAATCAGTTTACCCCTTGTAGTGGCCTTATGGGCTCCCAGACCACTCCAGAGGATGTCGCCGATGATGCGTTCATGAGGAAGAATTCAGTCAAGGCCGCACTTACGGAAGTGAACACTTCGGGGTCCGTCAGTAGGGAGTCCCTCAGGGACCAAGTGAAGCCATGTGGCCTAGGTAGGGAAAGGTTACATGTCAAGCTCACCAGGTCATGGTCCGACCATGATATAAACTGAATCGAAGCAGATTGTGCAAAGGGTAGTGTCGACGTGTGTAGGAAAATATGGTCAATACGTGAGAAGGAATTATGAGGGTTCGAATAGAAAGTGAATTGTTCTCTCGCTAGGTGCAGTTCACTCCAGGCATCCGCCAGGCCATAATCAGCCAATAGCAAGCGGAACCTAGGGCTGTGGGTAGCAATAATGGGGGGACAGCAGGGTCTCCCGGATCATGGCAATCTGCGTGAGGATGTATCAGCAAATTTGAATCCCCGGACAGAATCAAGGTCCTCTGCAATAATACGAAACAATTGTGATGAAGTATCTCCCCTCCGGGTCCTCGATAGATTATTTGCAAACAAATGGGAACAACCTTCTGAAGGCTAGAAGGACCCCCCTAGTTTTTGTTGCAGCAGAAGCCACATAAAAATCAGGAAATGTTGAATGGAGATAAGAAGGGGGAGAATCTTTTTTAAAATGAGTTTCCTGCAAACAGATCACATCCGCATGCAGGGATTTAAATTGGCGGAATGCTTTGACTCGCTTATTCGGTTGATTAAGCCCCTGTACATTTAAGGAAACTATTTTAATGGACATGTCGGTGATAGACCAGGCGTTAGCCTAAAGGTGGGAGGCTGGAGGGGGAGAAGATGGAGGGAAAGAAAGGGGTAGTGAGGAGGTATAGAGAGCAGGAGAAAGGGACTCAAAAAGGGAGAAGGGAAGCTGAGAAAGAGTGTGGCACGGAGTCTCCCTCACAAGGAGGTCCACAATACAACAGTGGACAAGGTTAGTCACCCGTCAGGACTCTTCTAACTGCAAAGTCTGAGTGGTGAAAGGTGAGGCTACAAGCAGTAACCGGGCCAGGCCCCAGGATCAATTCCAAAATACAAAAATATAATCTGCCTGTAATAGAGAAATAAAACAGAACAACCCACACCAAACTATAATTGAGTCTTCAATAATACAAGACCTACGAGGATATGATATCAAAACTACAATAACAGCAAAACCGGAGCAAGGTTGTCGTGGGGACAACGCTATACCCCATCTCGGGGTATAGCGTGCTCTGCTTAGGGCTAGAAACAACTAGAATAGCAGACCATTGGCACTCTGTAACTCCCCGGATAGGCAGAATTGCATGGGGGAAAACCCAGGGTCTCAACCAAGGGCTCCGAAGAGACAGTCGTCTTTGCCTGGACTAGGATCTCAATCGGCACAGAGCGTGGATTTCAGGTCAAAGCAACGAAAACAAATATTTGGTAATAGCACAGAAGTGCAGTCCGCCGACTGCGAGCCAAAGCAAGCCGGGTCCGGGGGGAGCCCGCTCCCGCCAGCTGAGACTCCCCAGGGGCCCGCAAGCAACCCCGGAACGCACCATGCAATTTCCCTCCGCTGCCATGCGCTCCCACTGGGTGCCGCCTAAGCGTGCTCGGTACCTGTAACCGTCAGCGGCGGGAGAGGGCCCTGCCCCACTTCTCCCCGGCGGGCTCTCGATCAATTTAGCTCTACCATTGGCATCCGCCATATATGTATGCTGCGAGTATTCGTTCAAAGTCACGAGGTGGGGAAGAGTGTGACTACACAACGAAAATTATGAGTCAGTAATATCTCAGTAGGCTCTTCTATAGGATAGGGACCGACAACCAACAGTTGTCGGTCCACCTAGTCTTCCTGATGCCCCGAGGCGCACCGACATGCCCGTACAAAAACATTCAATATAACTTGCATCATTTATAATACTTTAAGGCAGTTCTGTCCATTCGAGTGTGGAAAAGGTATCCCACCCCCCTCCCAGTCACCATCGGTTATAAGCATGCTCGGCGGAGCGTACAAAAAAATAAAAATAAGACGGCAAGAAAAAACAATCCAATGTAACTAGAACCCAGGCAGGATAACATTTACAGTATATACTCATCCCATCGCATCCGACTCCTGGGAAGAAGCCAAGAGGACAGCTGGCTCAGCAGGCCGGTCTCCAGACGAGTGAGAGGAGCGTGGGGCTCTCTGTTGGTTTCCGGTTCTCTCCTAAACCCACTCCCCCGGTGGGTTTAGGAGATGAAGATGTTCGAGGCACTGGTTTGCATCATCGACTGTAGGGAGAGTGTAGGTCTTGCCCTCAAAGAGGAACTGGAGCTTGAATAGGAACCCCCATCGATATCTAATCCGTCTTGATTGTAGAGTCTGAGTGATCAGGCGGAATTCTCTCCTCTTGGCAATCGTTACAGGTGAGAGGTCTGAGAAGACCTGAAATGAATACCCTGAAAGTGAAGAGACGGGCTCTACCTGGCCGCCTGGAGAAGGCGCTCCTTCGTGCGATAGAAATGTAGGTGCACTATAATGTCCCGTGTAGGTCCCTCCGCTGAGCGTCTAGTCAGGGCCCGATGAATCCGATCGAATTCCAACTGTTCGATAGGTAGGTCGGGGGCCAATTCCTGAAACAGAACTGTAATTGTGGATTGTAGATCCACCACGTTCTCAGACACACCCCTTATACGAAGATTTGAACGGCGATCGCGATTCTCACAGTCCTCAATCTGGGAATGTAGGGACAGATTGAGCCTGCGAAGGCGTTCCAGTTCATCCTCATGGCCCTCAATGATGGTGGTAATATCATTGCACTGAGATTCTAGTACTGTTGTTCGCTTCCCGATCTCCCGAATCTCTCGGACCAGTTCTGATGTTATTTGTTTGGACATCTTGTCCAGGGCCTTGTGTAGAGTAGTTTCGAATTGTGCCATCATGGCCATTTGTTGGTCAGGCAAGGGGTGATTGGATTCGTCTCCAGCCAGATCCTCGATGCCCACCGAGGAACTTGTGTCCTCATCCGGCGGGGGCGCTCTGTACGCAGATCAGCGAGACATCCTGCCCAAGGCCTCGTGCAGAGTCGACTAGCTAAGTGTGGTCTTTTCTTTCGGGTATGTGTGACCCATTTCGGTAGAAATCGATGCCCCGGGCGAACCTCTCTCTGGTCCCAAGAAGGTTATGCAAATTCAGGCAGTAATATCAGCCGTAAGATCCTTAAGGCGCCCGGTCCGGAGCAGATCAAACCGTGGCCATCACATTTTAGTAGTTCAAGGCACCTGTTTCTTCATACAAGTCTTCATCCCATTTTTAGAAAATGAACAATACTTTTTAGTACCTCAATTCTGGGTTCACCCAATAATTTTTGACATAATAATTCTTAATGATCTACATAACTGGTGGTGTGTGTCCATGGCCTAAATACTTTATGCTGAAGGTGTCCCTCTTTCTAATCTCGGAATATTGAGTTATTCTAGTGGTTACGTTAAGGTAAATACTGCAATAAGATTTCAAAATATAAACGGCTTTGAATTTACACTGTATTTTACCTTTAATTATACCTTAGCTGACTGTAAATTAATGGTAAAAAACAGGAATAACCCAATACATTTGACCTTTTGCAGAGACTGTGTTAAGTTACGGTAAGAACTGATGCAGCTTGAACATTTTTACAGCTTACTGCTGGAGAAAAGTCATAACCGCGTGACAGATTTTACTGTATACATTTTATATACAATTTAAAGGATTATTATTTAATTCATGCACCTCTTGGCTCTGTCCCAAGCAAAAATATTTTATCTTATAAATTATATTACTGTGAGGTTATTTTAAGTCATGCCTATAACACATTTGCCACATTCTATTTTCGAAGGGTGAATTCAAAGGTAAATGGTCATCTTCAGTGCAATGATATAGGACTAAGTTACAAAGTAGATCATTTTTAGCTCAAAATCCAACACATCAGCAGTATAATAGGGGCCATTTAATAATGTACAGAAAGAGGGTTTTCAGTAATGTGTCAGTATGCTTTATTTGTTCCTATTATATGGTTAATGGTAACATTTTGATTATCAGCATGCAGCTGTGTCTGGAAACTTCAACTGTGTTTGTGCAATAAATGCTCTTATAAGAACATTCTGTAAACACAACAGTGTCTGCAGTTCTCACTGGGCAAAATGGACATAAAACATTGTAAAAACATACAAGATCACAATAAGTAATACATTTTATGCACAAAGCACATTATTTCACTGCCCTTCATTGTTTTACCAAAGATGCCCGAAAAGTAAAACATGTTTTTTTTTTCTGTTACACAGTTCTAATATTTTCATCTTGCTTAAAAAATTTGGAGAAATAGAAACAGGACTGCCTCCCACCAGAAACTCACTGTAACTCACTGTGCCGTCCATATCCAAGCTGTTATATCACCTACAAGTCTTTTGATATTCAGAGTAGTTGTTCAAATGTTATCATAACAGTTCCAAGATTGGAGGTTTCTGTACTCTAAGAAACTTGCAACCAAGACTACTGCAAAAATCGTGCAAGGCAGGTTTGATTCCCCACCAAGGTTTGTAAGCCCTATGGAACCCAGGAAGGTAGATGAACCCACAGCGACAACCTTGTAATATGGGACAGGCTTTGCCATATTCAGCAAGATTTCCAATGTTCTTTGCAAAGTAAGGCTTAGTGGTTAACAGTTCTGCCTAACAGCACTGGGGTTTGAATATTTGCCGGAGTATGCATGTTTCCCTGTGCTTTTCTTCTGGGTACTCGATATTCTGGTAGGTTAATTGTCTCCTGTCTAAATTGGCCCCATTGTGCACATGTAAAATAGAAACCTTAGATTGTAAGCTCCTAGAGGGCATGGACTAATGTGAATGTGCAGTATGTAAATTGCTGCATAAAATGTCAGTGCTATATGAACATCTGTGATAAATAATAATAAATATTTCTCCCTACTCTGTTGCCAGACTGTCAAAATCATCACCAATTGTATTAAGTAACAGTACTGTTACCTTGGTTTTACTTTACATATGAATAGTGGGGAATGTTACTGTACAGTTGCTGTATAAGAAAAACATAAAGATTTCATCATATTTATGTTAAACCAGCAAATCACAAATACACAAGCGAGTTGCAGCTAATGTGATATATTCTATATATTTTTTTACGCAATAAAGACATGGAATGGAAGTACTGTTACTGACACTGTTACTTGTATATCATTTGATACATCAAGTCTATTTCTCCACCTTGATTTCAGGTTCAATAATGCAGATAATCCTGTTTCAGTTTTCTATTGAATAATTCAAAGATCCAGTTCCATACCCCCACCTTTTGGTTCTGTACCCTCGCTACTGCCACTTAAGAACCCATGTCCTAGTGGACTAAACGTTTGGCTAAACAACCTAACCCAGCCTGTCACAACTGTCCTGGGAATCAGGTGACCTTTTTCTGCTGGAAAAGCAGGAAAGTACTGACAGGGATCTAATAATTAATTTTTCTTGGGTGGAGTTCTTCTTTTAAATACAAGGACTGTAAAGTGTGCACGTTTGCTATCAAACATGATATTAATGAAACCATAGTGGTACAATGTACAGTGTAAAGCCACAAATGACCTTCAGGAAAAATTATAGACCAAACTAATTAATGATTACACCTATATTACAGCAGCATCATAGCATTGTTAATTATTTGGCTTAACACCCATGACATTGCGTCCAATTTCCATTCTTTGCTGGAGCAAATCTTTGGTAAAGGTAACCCTTGAAAAGTATACACGCTCTACAAGAGAATACAAATTTGCAGTATTCTTCATTATGAAAAGTAGTCATTGCTATTTCTCTTTCTTGGACTCCTGGACTCACTATGACCATACAAAGATCCATCATGATTTGCAGTAACCTGGACAACCAATCACCTTTCAGTTTACTCTAGTTGGATCACATAGGTATTTGTCTTGTTGCTTTGAGTTACTAAACATCATGACTGTACTCTGCACTACCTGAACGTAATGACTTAATTAATTGTTAATATTGATAATATTGGAAGCAATAAAAACCTGTCAAGGGTTCTAACTATCTCAAGTTTCTATTGGTGTCTGTGTTCGCAATACCCAGATTCACCCTCCCAGTGACCATTGGTTCTAACCCTTGCCTACAGACACTTTAAAATTAACATTTCACCAAAAGACAAGTTTTATTGGTGTCTGTGTGCTCACTGTTTGTATTTGTCCTGGAGACCATCGGTTCTTACACTTCCTTACTGTCCAAAACAAAAATTGTTTTGGTTATACATACACTTTAAAATGACACACTAACCAATTGGCAAAAGGACAACTGAGGATACCTTTATTGCAGCGTTCATGTCTTGGAGAGCAGCAAATGTGTCCCCCATCTGTAAGTTGACAATAGCACGGCCTTCAAACCCCAGCATGGTCTGTGGATTGATATCCAAGGCTATTGTAAACTGGTTCCAGGCTTTCTGATAGGATCCCTGTGCCTACAAGAAACACAAAGAGCTGGTTTTGATAGATAGATGCACAATTTTTTGTATATATAGCTTGAATTGAAGACCACTTTAAATATAGATTTAAAAAGAAACAGATAAACTGATAAGGAAATAATTAATTTCTACTTTAAATACTCATTCACTGTACTGGCAAACACAATTTGCAGAAAGGAAGATCAGAGTTCATGCAGATTCTGTAACTGGTCAGTTCTGCCTTAAGATCCCACAAGTGCCCAAACCCACCCCCATAAAAAAAAAACTAAGAGCAATTCTATACTACTATAGCTACAGCTAACAAAAAAAAAAAAGTTGAAGTTCTTCCAGATATCAGTCCTACTGATAGCTATAGTGATGAAAGAAGGTAGTAAATATCTTTTCAACCATTATGGAGGCTGAAACATGTAACAATTGATATATGCTGCGGTATATATGGGTTGGACTTGATGGACGTATGTCTTTATTCAACCCCAAATACTATGTAACTATATATATTAAAATTAATAGCAAATATGTGAATTCAAATGGAAAATAATATATGTGCAGTTCTAATCTTTAAACATTTTGCACCGCATGAGTTCCTACAACTTTGGAATATAAATTCCAATAGCTAGTACATGGCCTTAAAATACATTTATTGACAATTTTTGGTACATTTAAAGGCGTCTTATTTTACACTACATAGAGAATACAGACAAACAGTCCTTTTTTCAGGTCACTGCATTTATATGAAACACTTGTCAACAAGTGCTCTGCAATGTAATTACAACTTCAAGCAAAAGGTGGTTTAAATCATGTGGAAATAGAAATTAGATAGTCAGTAGCTCCGGGGTGTTTTTCTTCTATTAGAGAAGGGAAATATCTGAAACATAAAGGCTTTGATACTGTGGAGGTGGGACATTGATACATTGATTTTGAATGGATTAACCCTATTGTGCTCCTACTTATGCAGCATAAAAGTCTAGTTAGACTTATATCCTTCTCTTAAGATCCTTATCACTTCATTACTATTTGTGTAACCATTTCATTACTTATAAGTTAAAGTGGAACTAAAGTTAAAACTTTTTTTTTCCATTTTGGATAGATTAAGTGAGAGTTATAACCCCTGTTATTTTTTTTCTGTCCCACTGGGGAGATTCCCCTTCATTGCCTGTCCCATGGCCACAACAGGAAGTGAGAGAAAAGCCCTCCAAAGTGAGGGAAATCCCTGGTTGTCACCAAGGTGACCAGAACTAGTGTCCCCATTGAAAGATTTAGCCTCTATTCCTGTTCTAGTGGCAGCTTACAATTTGCAATTTTTTTTTTTTCACGTTTGCTCTCAGTAACATAGGTCATCAGGACAAATAGAGAGGCTCTTGGTGTTAATTATGGAAGGTGGTCATTACTCTACTCATACAAGGCTGTATTCTGTATTACAAGATTCTGGAAGAGGGATGAAAAATAAATTTCCGACTACTTAACATTATAATGCAATATGATAAGTATGTAATAAATACTATGATATGTTAGGGACTAAAGGTTAATAGCTTATAAGATGATGTGGATTTGGAGATTAGGTTCTGCCCCAGCAGCAGAGAACATGTTTACTTTGAGCTATTAGGAGCTATTTAGAAGGATCATAGTGTGGCTTTTCTGACATGAAAAACCACTTCACCGCTTTCTCGCATTTCACTCAATCTTCTCAACTTCTGACTTTTAAAAAAATAAACTCCATCCCAAACTCCAATCCCTGACATTTAGGCCTCACTCACACAGGGTAGAGTGGGGCCGTACAGATCCGTGCGGCGTGCATGGCCGTATTGGGTCGTTCGCAGGAATGGCAGGTGCTGCGTGTGATTGTACGCATCTGCTTGTTTTTCCCTATGGGAGAACGCGGCCGTACGCTCACCCGAGCTGCACATCCGTGCGGGTGTCCATACTCGGACGCAGACAGGATGTGCGCGTCCTCCCATAGGGAAGAACAGGCCGCTGCGTACAATCACATGCAGCACCTGTCCTTCCCGGGAACGGCCCGATACGGCCGTGCACGTCGCACGGATCTGTACGGCCCCACTCTACCCTGAGGGAATGAGGCCTTAAAGGGAACCTACAGTACAAATGTTCATAAGTCATTTTCTCTTTATAATGTTGGAACACTCATGAGGCCTTCAGTTGCCTATTGATACATTGATAGGGAGCATGAAACTTCAGCCACTGATTGCCACTGCAATGTGTGTAGCTCTTAGGTCATGAACACAATTCCCAGAGCTGTTTCTGACATAGTACAAGGACAGCCAAACTTTTGAATGACTAACGCAAATTCTGATGTAAAGCAAAGATGCACATGCATTTACCCAAACTTGGCAACAATATTAATTTCTGTAACCACACATAGGGGGTGATTTACTAACCTAAACACACGCACGCACCAGGTGTGTGTGATTTTCACACAGCAAAGCGTATTTATCAACCAAAAACCAACCAAAAGCATATTTCCACTAATGCCATATGTGGAAAAATCATGCACATGTGCATATATAATGCTGCTTAACAGTTTAGACAAAAATGGTTAGCTCATGCATTTACATTCCTGCATTCATCAACGCAAGCAACACAACATAGAGCTAATTTACACAACATCACCTTGTAATTCATGCAGGGCTTTGCACAACACACCTGCTGGGTGTGTACGCACTACAAAGGTGTTTACATTCCACCCATAGATCATGCTGGGAGGGAACACACTACAGAGGTGTATACATGTTCGTGGTGTGTTTTATAAGGTTAGTAAATCAACCCCATAATGTCAACAAGTATGCAAAAAGCATATGAACACAAGATTTGAGGATTAATCAAAGTATTCAGTGTTCCAGTGGATTTGGTTAGTTAAACCATACACTGTGTTCACATTTGTTTTGGAAATCAACTGAGAAATGGTGTGGATGCTGGTTGCTGATAGTATTGACGAGTAGGACCTGTATATATTTATGATTGAGAGTATTTCTGAAAATATATTTAGGGTGTGTGATAAATACATATATATACATACACAAGGATTCCTATAGAGGATCATGTAGGAAACCTCAGACGTATGCTAAGTCTTTGTTGTCATCCTGACCAACAGGGGCTGTAATAGGAGCTTTTTCAGGGTCATAAAGCATTGTCTGACTGTACACAATGGAAACAGATATAAGGAATTTTCTTTAAAAGAAACCTGTTTAGTTAACTGCCAATAGATAATGTATACAACTGATTATTTTAATTCATGTGCCATTAAATGGATTACCAGACAAGCATATCAGAAACCCCTCCAGTGTTAGTAACTGGCAATAAACTGTATTATTATTATTATTATTATTACATAGTATTTATATAGCGCCAACAGTTTGTGCAGCGCTTTACAATATAAGGAAGACATTACAATCACAATACAATTCAAGACAAGATGGTAAGGAGGGCCCTGCCCCTGAGGGCTTACAATCTAAAAGGGAGGGAGAAGTGATACATGAGGAGGTAGCTGTGTGGGGATGAATTGTCTGAGAATGTGATGGTTGAGCGGTTAGGTTGTGGTGGGATAGGTTTCCCTGAAGAGATGAGTCTTAAGGGATCGCCTAAAGGCAGTCAGAGTGGGAGACAGACGGACAGGTTGGGGTAAAGAGTTCCAGAGGATGGGAGAGACTCTAGTGAAGTCCTGGAGGTGAGCATGGGAGGAGTTGACGAGGGAGCTGGAAAGCAGAAAGTAACTTAAAGAGCAGAGGGGACGGTTAGGGTTATACTTTGAGACAAGGTTTGAGATATAGCCGGGGGCCAAGTTGTGGATGGCTTTGTAAGTCATTGTTAATATTTTTAATTTTATCCTTTGGGTGATTGGAAGCCAGTGGAGGGATTGGCAGAGGGGGGTTGCAGACACTGAGCGGTTGGTTAGGTGGATGAGTATAGCAGCTGCATTCATGATAGACCGAAGGGGGGATAGCCTTTGTAGAGGTAGGCCAATGAAGAGGGAGTTGCAATAGTCAAGACGAGAGATAATACGTGAGTGGATGAGTCATTTAGCGGTTTCATTGGTGAGGAAGGGGAGTATTTTGGAGATGTTGCAAAGGTGAAGGCGGCCGGATTTGGATAGTGATTGGACGTGTGTAAGAAAGGTGAGATCAGAGTCAAGAATGACACCTAGCACCTTGGCATGGGGGGAGGGTTGGATAGTTGTGTTATCAATCTCAAGAGAAAAGTTGGGGGAAGGTGCATGGGCAGGGGGAAATATCATGAGCTCAGTTTTTGAAAGGTTGAGTTTTAAGAAGTGTTGTGACATCCAGACTGATATGCCAGTTAGTAGATTAGTGACATGCAAGGACACTGAGGGGGTGAGTTGTGCAGTAGAAAGATAGATTTGAGTGTCATCGGACACATGTACATGAAGGGAATAGATGCTCAGGCATGGAAGACACATATGTGTATATATAGATTGAATATATATGCTGAGCGTGTGGATTGTCTGTACCCTTGCTAAAATGATGAGGAAGAGCCTAGGATTATGAGGGGTTATTTCAATATTATATTATTCTGTGTATACTTTGTTAGGCTTGCCATCCATCCCTGGGTCTGTTATATCCAATAAAATGCTACACTCTGAGGAAAATAACTACTCCACTCTCTATAAAAGGTTCCTCTAATGAAATTACGAATGTGATGTATCATATAGCAGATTAAAGAAGCACCTATTTGTATTTCTTGGAAATGTTATGTTTCCTTTGTTATATATGCCACATATTAGTAACAGGTGACCAACACAGACAAATGCAATTGCTGTCTATAGGGGGTTATCAAATTATTTTTTTTGTCTTTACACAAATTACGGCTTGAATCTAATTGGTTCCAGTTAGACATCTTCTGTGGCGATATGTCTTTCGCACTCTATTTTAGCCGTCCGTATTGCTAGTTTGCATCTTTTATTGCTTTCTTTGTAGTTATGGAACGCCAATGCCGTCCCCTCTATCTTATATTTTATGAAAGCCATTCGCTTTCATAAATAAAGCATATATTGAGCTTATTAATGAGACAGACAGGTATACTTGAAATGCACCTGTTTTTATATGAGGCTGTCCATTGAGGCAGACCAGCCATATAGACTATCACTCACCTGCAAATTATAACCCAGGCAAATCCGAGCAGCAATGCACATAGGATTCAGATGAAGGGCCTTCACAAAATCCATCTGGGCATATCTGAATCCCTCTTTATGGCCATATTCCATGTAGGCGTTGCCACGGCCAATGTATCCCTCTGGAGACAATTGGTTTAACTGCAGCACCTGGTTAAAAGCCTGCACAGCCTCTTTGTACTGCTGAAGTCTGTCACAAGGGATGTGCAAATGTTACAACTCAGAAACATGAAATGCAAATTGAAAAACTATACAATGTACTGACTTGTTTTCAAAGCATGTTAGGTCCCTACATCAGATATGATACAGTGATGGATGTGGGGTGACATATACACACATGTTACTTTACTGTCATAAAAATGGCATGAGCTATTGTAAAATTTTAGCATTCACACATGATGAAGACACACAGTTGTTACTTTGTGAAATACAAAATGACAAGGTAACAGTGCTTTCTACATTTCACTATTTTTTACAATAGATGTTATTTTTATCACTAATCCACCATACTCCATTTTGCATGGTTGCATGGTTCCCCGAATCCACCATCCAACTGTTGCTTATACTACCTGGCAAACTGGAATCCATCCAGAAAATGACAGTGCTTTCCACGGAGAACCACTGTACTTTATGATTGCAGTGCAACCCCAAATTTCACCAGTGAGTGGTACTACAAGCAAAAATCTGAAACTGGAGCTCCCAGTCAAAAGAGCAATCAGAGATACAGGAGAATGAACTACTCTGTATAACTACATGAAGATGTCCTGAACAAAGCTATGTCTTATTGCCACAAGTAGCTGCAACTCATTTAGAACAATAATAGATGAATTTGTACCAGGAGGAATAGATCAAAGGTAGATAAGTATTTGAACAATTTTTCTTTTGTATGATGTGTTATATAATGAACAAACTCTGTATGGTGTTAATACCTGTGATGGCAGTCTCCTATCACTTCATGGATCTTTGTGTCTCCAGGAGTTTTTATAGCCACGGCTTTGAAGTCCTATTAACAAGAGGCGCTGGTTAGTAAATTCCAGAAGTATTATAGCCTCTCAGCAGCCAGGTATATTGTTTGGATGGCGGCCAATTTGACTAAGGTCCCCTTGACTTTATGCCACTAATAGAATTTTGGAGGTATATTGGAGCAGTATCATAAGAGATGAGAAACTCTTTATGGTATATGCCAGAATAAATAAAAATGTCCATTAATTTTTTTCTCCAACATCTTCTATAAAACCACATTTATGGAGGTATATTACAATCTAAAAGGCTTTAGTCCTCTTTTGGGTCATAGAAATACATTTACTAATGTAAAAGATCCTGACAATATTGTCAGGATCCACCCTGCTGCCCAATTGACAGCTGGCTCTGCCTCTCTAGAGCCAAAGCCAGCTGTGCCCACCCCTTCCCCCATCTGTCCCTCAAATGAGCACTTGATGAATAGAGAGGGGAGGCGGAATCCCTGCGGGGAGCAGTGACTAACAGTCACTGTTCTTTGCAGCAAGAAGACAGTTAATTGAGTGATCAGCAATTCATGATCGCTCAGTTCGCGATCTATGGAGCCAGCATGTGACAGCTGCAGTGTCACACGAGCTCTGAATATTGCAAAGAGTACATGTTACTCTCCCAATACTTCTCCTTTAACCACTTCAAGACCAGGTGTTTAGACCCCCTTCCTGGCCAGGAAGGTATTCAGTATTCAGCGCTGCGGTACTTTGACGTTTATTCCGTCATGCAACACTGTACTGAAATTAATTTTATACCATATTTTGGGGACAGATAGAGCTTTCTTTTGGTGGTATTTAATCACCACTGGGATTTTAATTTTTTACTATATTAAGGAAAAATTATTGAAAATGTTGGGGAAAAAAAGCTTTTTTTCCCATTATATTAGGAAACAATGATTATTACCCATATTTTTGGTGAAATATAAAAGATGGGGTCACGTCGGGTAAATAGTTGTATATAGATGTCACCAGCACTCCAAATATGACAGAATACGTCAAGGTTTTAGTGAATCTTTATTTTTATTTTTGAAGTCACTTAAAGTGGAAACAAGCGCTTTCGGGGCCGCACAGGGTCAAAGTGACTTCAAAAATAAAAATGAAGATTCACTAAAACGATTTGACTTGATACGCCGCCATCCGTAGTCATTGCGAGCACCCATTTTTCCACATGGGAAGTCCGGTAAGGTGTGCTACAGGTCCTTGGACATTTGTACGTCGGGTAAATAGACACCAAACATGTCATGCTTTAAAATTGCGCGCACCCGCCAAATCGCAAAAAACTACCATACCCAAAATTGACCATAGGTGACGCTTTAAAAGCTTTTACAGCTCATCAGTTTAGTGTTATCAGTGATTGATAGCCCTAGAACTATTGCTCTCATTCTGACGTTCGCGACGATATGCAACATGTGCGGCGTAATGGGCGAAATCGCCGTTTTCGCACGTATGCGCACCCGACGCCTGTTTGCATGCGTGTATGTATGGGGGGACTTTAAAAAAAAAAAAATTTTTTACATTATTATTTTTTATTTGTAACTTTACATTTTTGGGGGGAAAACTTAAATTTTTTTTTCTATTTCTTTTTTTCACTTAACTTTATTGCTATCACATTGGGGGCTAAGAAAACCCCCTTATGTGATAGCAAAATATGTCACAGGTCTTCTTTATGGAGACATCAGGGGTCTCCAAGACCCCTAATGTCACCTAGGACCCCCTGAAGAAGCTGATGAAGCAGAGATCTGCTTCATCAGCTTCTCTCCAGCATCTGAAGCTGGAGAGTGTAACGGCTCCCGGCGGCTCACCCGTGTGACGTCACGAACACGCCGCGGGGTTCCGCCCCCGGGCCGTTGACGTCACGTAACTCCGCCCCCTTCTCGTCTTAAGCCGGTATCTCTCACTTGTCTGGCGTTCCAGCAACCGATGCGGACGCCAGACAGACACTGGCACCTCAGCACAGCAGGGACTACATACCCAACCTCTCCTCACAGCTCCTCTGACTCCCCTCGCTGCTCGGGCAGGACACTGGACGTTCACTGCAGCCTCTTCGTACACTCTAGGACTCACAGCACTAAGGGGAGGATCAGCTTCCTTATCTTCTAACTGCAAGTACTGAGTTACAGCTCTCTACTGCCACCCGGTGGTTGTTAATTGGCGGTGATTACTGTGTTAACAAGGACTGTGAACTTGTAATGTATGCATAACCTCTCAGCACTTTCATAACCATACCACCAATACTGATTTGTGACGTGAACAGACAGTTATTGTGTATACCGAACCTAATAGTACTCTACCCGGTCTACTTGTCAGGCCGTCTGCAATATACTCACCTGAATGACGAACTACCTATTGCTTCTGATCAAACTACTGACAATATTCTTACCATCATTGCCACCATACCTTTCGTTCCTGATAGCCATATCATACTGCACTATCCTCGTAACTAAGGCAGCTAAGAACCGTAGATAGAAGCTAGATACTAGAGGCTGCTACTTACTTCCTGGGAGGTTGGTGCAATGATGCTTAGAAACTAGTGGCGAGATTCATTGCTGCACAATACCCTTGGTCTCGGGTGTGTGACGCGGAACGGGGTTCCGCAGCTGAGCTTCATATCTTCCCTTAGTCAAGGGTGTTATAGAGAGTGACACGAGAATGCGGAAGTGATGTAATATACATCAGTTCCACATTCTGACAGCGAAGAGGGAACCGGAGGGAGATCGTGTACCGACCTCCCTCTGATCCCCTGTGACAGAGGCAGTATGCTGGTCCCGGGAGCGGAGCCCGGGACCAGCGTGACAGCGGGAGGGGGAGAGCAGCGGAGGGGGCGAACATCCCGGGACCTCATACAAGCTATCCGCCGGCTCTACAGCCGGCGGATCGCTTGTATATTAAGGGCAGCGCTGCCTGTTTTCAAATGTCGGCATCTCCCGCTCGCGCGCGCCCAACGTCGTTTGGTGAAAGTCACATTCGCTACTTTATAAATATTTCCCTACATTTCATACAAGACATAAAGCCTACCAATGTAGGGTTCCTGCTTTCCTGCCAGTACCTTGGCATTCACCATCTTACATTATTGTAACAGCAACCTAGATGTTCCTAGTCTCAGCAACTAAACTCTTCTGTGTGTTATAAGTGGGTTGGAGGACAAGCCATTATGTCAATGATGTAATTTTTCAGCACGTTTCTCCTCCTCCATTATGTGACTTCCATCCTGCAGTTTTCTCCTTTCCAAGATCCCATTCTGCAGTTCTTCATTCTCCTAAAATATCCTCCCATGCTCCTTTCCTTTATGACCACCACCCTACACTTTCTCAAAATAGACCAGTGCCAGGACCCAACTGAGTTTACACTATGGTTAACGGAGTGCACATTCTTAATTAGGTAGAGATGAGACACCGGCACACCAATTGCAGATATAACGCGTCTTTTATTGACGTGAATGCGGCATATTACACAAGTGCAATGTTTCGGGGTCACGCAGGATCCCCTTCCTCAGCCAGGATATTCACGTCAATAAAAGATGCCTTATATATCTGCAATCGGAGTGCTGGTGTCTTATCTCTACCTTTTGAATGTGATGGTGCCATCCGTCGACTGCCGCTGCAACCACCAGTCGATTTTGGATTAAGCGGTCAGGAGTGTGATGGGTTCATGGACTTCCACATTCCTAATTAAGCACATCAGCAGTGTTTCCAGGTTCATATGAACAGGTCATTAACGGACTTTACTTATTGCTCTTTAGCATGGAACAACAGTGAAAAAATATTTTCAACAAATTTTAATGGCTGAATGCCAATCTGTAAAATCTCTTCTCTATCAATGTACCCAGCCATTCGTCTCCCTTGCTATATACCGATTTTGTAACAAAATGAAGAGCGTGACAATGCTTTCTGAAATGTAGCAAAAGCTGTCTACACACAGAGGACTTATATGGTACAATGTTCAGTCCATATAGCTATTTGTTAAAGAAGAACTCCAGGCAAACAATAAACTGGGACTGCCCCCACAGTGCAAGGGTTAAGTGCTCGTTTTGTCTAGGGAACACTATTAAAGCTGCATTACTCACCTGATCCTCAGTCCCGCCAGCTCCCTCCGGGCTGCTAGACTTGACCCCACAGACTCTTCTCCCCTTCACTCTGGCAGTCTAAGGACTGCTGGCATCATCACGTCTTATGCAGGTCCACTGACATGAGGCTGCCGAGGGACATTCTAACGTCAGGAGTAGAAGAGAGAGAAGTGAGCTGTCTACCATGGGACTGAGGTATAGGTGACAAAAGAAGAACTTAGCCCTTGCAGTGTAGGGGTAGCCCCACTGCAAGGGTAAGTTTTTTCTTTGACTGGAATTCTTCTTTAAAGTGTTAAGCAGGAAGCAACAAATTAAATATTGCATCTTTATATGGACAATTATACACTTGTTGAGGCCTGCTTTCAACTTAAAAAAAAAGTTATATGCACTGAACATTGTGATATATAAGTGTTCTGTGCGGATTACTTTTGCTATGTTTGAGAATTGTTTGCCTAATGCATGCCATTAGCCTATGGTCTTTATAAATGAAGTAGACTGGAGTGAGCTTCATTGCATGACATGTTGTCTCCGGACAATATGCCTGAGATCTGTGTACTGCTTGATCCACGATCCCACAGTTCCTAAAATATGAGACTGCCAGTGTGTGAAAAACAACAGATAGGGTCATGATCCTAATTATATAGCACAGGCAAGCCTTTTGCATACTTTTCATACTTAATAGTATATGAATTTTTAAAATATACGTCCTTTTTTGAATATACTGTAGAATGTGTACCACATATAAGTTCATCCAGCACATGGTACCATGTAGACATAAAATGATTCTCCATTGAAACTCTGACAAAATCTTCCGGACATCTCATTTCACACAGAAATATGTAACATTCCCCAGTAATCAGTCAGCCCTTGTACCTCCAATGCATTGGCATAGTCATGAAGCTCAAGGTACAGCAATCCACGATTAACAAGAACTTTAACATCAGCTTCTTTCCATCCTCCCAGAAGAAGTACAATAGCATAGTCTTTCAAAGCCTGAAAAATGTGCAGAACAGATGTATCAAAGATTACTGCAACTATTTATTGTATAGCTGAATGTAGGAGTCCAGAAGTAAAAATATATGTTCTCAAGGAAAATTAAGGAATGCATTTACAGTGCATTTCCACTATGCAGCCAAACTGGGATAACACCGACTTTATATTTGTCACATTGTCCCATTCACATAGCATAACCTAAATATTATTTTTTTTAAATCGCAGCTTACCTTTTTTTGGTGATGTTTCTGCAAACTCTAGGACTTAAAAATCCTGCTTAATTTTCACTGTCTGGGTTTCAGGGGGGACGTTTTATTTCAAATAATTAACTCTGTCTGTACTGTGTTGGCAGATTTAATTACCACTTGAAAACTAGATGAGAAGGAATGTCTGTCCTTACAAAGGGTTAAAGACCTGAAGACATTGTATCTTAATGAACTTTAAATACACAGTACCACATAAACGTTTACTATACAAGCTGAGGTCTATGGGCATAGACGAAAAAAAAAAGTACATGGATAGAAAACTGGCTACATGAACGGGTACAAAGAGTATCGATAAATGGCACCTTTTCGGATTGGGCTACGGTCATGAGCGGCGTTCCGCAGGGGTCTGTGCTGGGCCCCATGCTGTTTAATCTATTCATTAACGATATTGGGGAGGGGGTAAACAGCCATGTTTCAGTGTTTGCTGATGATATCAAAATCGGGAGGGGAATAGTTATAGCGCCAGAATGAATCTGACGCTATAACATTACAGGGGGATCTGGATAAAATAGGGGAGTGGGCAACCACATGGCAGATGAGGTTTAATGTAGATAAATGTAGAGTTGTGTACTTTGGGGTTAAAAACAAGAAAACGGATTACACACTAATAGGAGCTCCCCTCGGAAAGTCAGAGAAACAGATTTGGAGGTCATTGTAGACCACAGGCTGAATAATAGCTCGCAGTGTCAGGCTGTGGTAAACAAAGCAAGTAGAGTCCTTTCCTGTATTAAGAGGGGAATGTTTTGCAGGGACAAGTCCATAATTGTGCCACTTTATAGATCACTGGTTCGGCCTCATCTGGAGTATGCGGTCTAGTTTTGGGCACCCGTGAACAGAGGGGATGTCCTTGAACTGGAAAGAGTCCAGAGGAGGGCAACCAAACTCATAAAGGGGATGGAGGACCTGTGTTATGAGAACAGGCTACTAAAATTAGACATGTTCTCCTTGGAAGTAAGGAGATTAAGGGGGGACATGATTTTCATGTATAAAATGTTTACCGGGGATAGTAACACTAGCAGCAAACTTTTTACAATTAACTCGATGACAAGGACGAGAGGCCACCACTTAAAATTGGTGGAGAAAAAATTTCAGCGCAAGGGGCAAAGGGGTTTCTTCTCAGTTAGATCGGTCAAGGTCTGGAACTCACTGCCACATGCTGTGATTTCAGCTGAGAGTGTGGAATCATTCAAGAGGCGACTGGACGATTTTCTCAGGGACCGTAATATACAGGGGTACAAGTACTCTAAGATTGAGAACACACAGGGGCCTATACATACTACACATCAATAGGACCATACACACATACACAAATAGGTTGGACTTGATGGGCAAATGTCTTTATTCAACCTCAAATACTATATAACTATGTAACTTAACAAATATATAGAGGGGGTTTCTCAATTTTGGCTGCAATAGTGGAAATACCCTTTAAAGCTAAACTCCAGGGAAGCAGCTTAAGGCACAGTTAGAATACATATATGGTAGCTGTTTTACCTGTCAAATGATTTGTAATCCATTGCAGCTAGATGTTAGATGCAATCAGAGACAGCACTGCCAGGTGGCATAGCATAGCTAAAACCTCGACCTGCACTGCAGCAGCAGCCAGCATGGTCAAAAACACCTCCAGGATTGGACAATGAAGAAGTAGCAGTACATTAATAAGTCATAACCCTGCCCTGTCCTCCAGGCAGCCTGTTCGCACACATGCTATGCATCATAGCCTGATTGGTCCCCCCTGCTCCTTCCCCCTTAGCACTGCTGTAGAGGGGATTGGAGAAGGCTAATATAAACCAAAGTCTGCCACTTACAATAGTTGCACTTAAACATATAATTTTTAGTGAATATACTAACTGGTGTTTTTGCTAATATACACCAAGAGTTTAGCTTTAAAGTGGAATTCCAGGTAAACAGCTAAGCACACAGGTGAAATACATATAATTGTAAAGTGTTTTATACATTTTGTAAGCCTGGTTAGATAGTTTTGTGATATTCATACTGCGTAGCCTGGCAGATGACAATTAGGCTTCGTTCACACGGGGCGATCTGGTATTGCTGGCCACGAATTCTTTGATCCCACCAGAAAACTTATCAGCTTATAATTTTGTGTTCTCCCTAGCTGTGCTGTTTTCAGCCAAGAATGTGCGATTCAAATCTTGGAGAACCCCTGGTAACAACTAATTTCGAAACTCATCTGCAATCTGGCAGTCCTGCTGCAGGAACTTATGGATTCCTGGGGCAGGAATACCAGGTACCCCTGTTAAGATGCGGCTTTCCTGTCTCCAACGACAATCATCTATTCAAAACCGCATGCAATCGTATCATATACGATTATATGCAAACTGCTGCTTACAGATAAGACCACCATCACCCGGTCATTAACTTGAACTGGTACGGCAGCTGCATCTAAACAGGACACCTGGGAATCCTAATGCAGGAATCTGTAAGTTTCTGCTGCAGGAATGCCAGATCACCCCATAAATGGGGCCTTAGGGATGTGGTTCGTGTTTGTTGCTCCCAGGTGTTCTCTGGGATTTCAATCGCAAACATTTGGCTGAAAACACAAAGCTATAAGCTGACAAGATTTCTGGTGGGATCACCATTCTGGTGGGATTCTTGTACTAAACAAATAACAAAATATTTTCAATTAAATATTTAACAGACCAAAAGGGACCAAATAAGAGACGATCCTTATCCTTTAAGAAAGTTATAGTAGGTATACATTTCAATTATATTTTTACGCATGGGCTGTAGTACTAATGTAATACTATCGAGTGATAGGTAGTGATATGGGGGCTGGTGCAGGCTGAAGTAATCAGCATTCTCATTTGTTAAGCATAGCTGCCCGATCGCCTGACAATAGTGTGTCTATTATATACAAGCGCATAGCTGAGTGCAGGTCATTGCAAGTTTTTATTCTATTACCTGCATTTGGATTTACTATGCACAGTGCAGGGATGCTGCAACAGACTGTAATAAACCTGCTCAACACAGCAAAACTAAGGTGCAAGCACGTATTTGAAAGGCATAGTACACAGCCCCTCATAAAGAACCTCCAACAAAAACGAAAGAGTCTTATAGAATTACCACTGCTTAATTTCCTACACAGCATTACTTCATTTTCTTAGCCTGTGTTACCCATGTAAGTAGTCCCTGCCTTGCTTCCTAATACATACCTGAATCCCAATTCAATATCCCCTTCCCCAGCTTCTGAAGCATTAAACTGTCAGATCTTAAGAGCTTTGGTCAGTGAACTTTAACACCAGCAGCGAACAACACTAATAGGATCACCAGCTTCCCATCTTCTATCTTTTTAGCATATTTTTCTTGAACTCCCACAATATCTGTGAACTATAAATTTTACTAGTGCACAGGACCATATTTACCTGCCCTAGAACATTTTAAATATAAGTATATATTTTACAATGATTATGCATAATTACATTTGTGTGGTGATTTTCCCTGAATTGCGAAACAAAACTTTGTTTTATGTAATATTGTATCTTTATCCACTATGATATAGTAAAATTCTATAACTGCTAAACAAACCCTAAAGAGAATATGTCACTTTGCCCAGGAATGGTGGCAGATTTTTATGAATGCCCCAACACAGCCCACCTCTAATTTTTCTTTCATGCTCCCCACCACTGTGTCTTTGTAAATACCTGGTACTTGTGGTGGCAGCTGATTGGCTGCAGTCACTGTCACAGTTCCAACTGGCTTTTCCGATCAAAGGATGCCGAACGGAAGTGTGCCATCAGGGCCTCCCGGTGAACAAATTTTGTCCAGTTCATCAAGAACTGGCTGAAATTTGTACAGTGTATGGCCATCTTTAGTGTCAGGGGAGCGAAAGGAAAGTACAGTAAGTATGTGCAACTGGGGAGGGCAGACGTTAACTGAACCTGTTACTTTGTTCATGAAGTGCAGGGTTTACTTTAAAGTTCAAGGCAATGCTTAATTTTAGCATTTGCATTCTAATCGTAATGTGGAAATGAATGTCTGTTTTTAGTACCATCTCTTTACACAATAGACCCTGCAGCTGCTATTACAACATCTATTTTTACATTCCGGAGAAATCCACTTGGGCTGTTGTTTTCAGTGATATAAGTGTTACACATATAAGTTCCTCACTTATGAAGATTTTCCAAAGGGAGCACTCAGCTCAGACTCAGTTCCCTACCTCCTCGTACATCTTCATCTGATGGTAACAAACTCCTCTGTTGTAATATACAAGAGAACAACATGGATCCAACTCTGCAGCTTTTGTTAAATCCAGAATGGCTAGCTTATATGCCTGGAAGGAAGAAAATATAAAATCCTCTGTATTTAGAAAATCTTTACATAAAAATTGTATAATATATTTTGTTCAGTGTTTTTTCAGATATACATGTCAAAGTGATAAGCTTGATAGAAGCAATCTAGGTCTTTACCTTTTTATTGCTAACAGCTACGACAAGGGTTAAAATACTGTGAGCTGTCAGCACGTAGGAGAGGCAGGCATAAGCTGTCTACTGCACCATTCAACTGCTTAGGTAGCGAGAACACTGTTGATTAGAACATTGAAGAGGTGACTTGCTGCACTCCTCATCCGAAATCTCCAGTAAGATACGATTGGGTGCTTGTAGTGACCACAGATGGCACCGTTAGTAACAAAGCTTAATGGTTGTGTCACCAGCATACCGAATTAACGTTGAAATAAAAAAACGTCTATTTATTGACAAATGTTGTTGCTCAGACAAGTGCTTTCAGGGCCACGCAGGGTCCCTTCATCAGGCTCAGAAATTATGTAATTTCTGAGCCTGATGAAGGAACCCTGCATGGCCCCGAAATCGCTAATCTGAGTGACAACATTTAAAAAATTGACATCTTTTTATTTCGACATTAATTCGGTGTGCTGGTGACATTGTTGATTAGAGTCTGTGTGACTGACATGTTATCTTAACAGGTGTTAAGAAACGGTGACTGTAATAACCCACTGAGAGCTCCTTCAAAAGGCTAGTTTACAAAATATCATGTTTAATACAATAACAATGTCAAAGCATATACAATGTAAAAGATATACAATCTGCGTTTAATGTACAGCAGTACATGGTACATGTGCTTTGCCATTGATTCCAAATGGGCCGCACGTGTACACTAAAAAAAATAAAAAATAAAGATGGACAATATATATAGCATATATAGCACAATATAAAATGCACTGTGCATTGTGGTGCACTGCCATGTCAAAATTAGTGCAAGCACCTTTTTTAAATTGTTTAGGCTCATTAATTGCCCATTCAAAGTAAATGGGAGGCTTTAACAGCATGTGCGCGAAAAAACGCATGTATAGCCTGTGCAGATGGGGGGCACTTCCTTGTGAAATAAATTTTCCCGCACTGGGTTTTTCTGAATTGGAACTTGCTAATCTAATTAGGACTGGGAAAAAATCATATAACTTTTTCACACTGATTTTTGACTTATGTCTCAAGGTACTTATAAGTCACCCAATCCATCAGCAGAGCCAATAAGTTAATATAAAAAAGTAAACTTGCTTTTTTTCAAAACTTATTTCTAACAGCAGCAATTCCATTAATAGTTTTTATTGGTTTACAATTTTTCATTTCTCAAGGATATCAGCACAATGGTAACATGTTACAGCAGCTATGAAAGGTGCAAATTATGTGATATATATCTTTATTGTGTAGCCAAAAATGACAGCATCATCATTTTGTCATACAGTATTTGATACTGCATTTTTTACTTAAACTAAAGAAATAACAATACATGTTCATGTGTGACAGGTTCCTTTGAAAACCTTTTCTTGTTCCGCTGATACTTGGATATACCTGGTACTTCTGGGTATGGGGGAGCATGTTACCTTCTCCCCTTCTTCCCAAGATTCAGTGCTTGGTAACTAAACTGCCAATCACCAGGACTAAGTTTATAAGCCCTATGTAAGGTCTGAAAGTGGCCAACACTGAGCTTACGCAGGGCTTTTAACTTAAAGTGACATTAAACCCTCAGATTTTTTAACATAAAACAATACTGTAATGTGTGCCTTACTGTAATCCATGGTTGTTTCCCTTCTCTTTGCTGCTCTTCCTTTTAAATCTGTATCTGTTCTCATGCTGGGCAGAACTTCTGTTTTGCAGCAGACTGCCTTGTCTCAGGAATGGATATATGGTGTCTGTGTATAGGTTTGTATAGGTTTATAACCTGAGCCAGCACTACAGGAAAGGCCCTGAGCTGCAAAGGGAAGTTCTCCCCAAGCATGAGAAGACATGAGGATTTTAAAGGAAGAGCAGCAAAGAGAAGGGAAACTACCATGGATTACAGTAAGGCACACATTACAGTATTGGTTTATGTTAAAATATCTGAGGGTTTAATGTCACTTTAATATTCTGGAAAGCTAACAGGACAAAAGGGGAGCACTGCAAAGGGAGGCATTAGCAAGGTGGTGGGAAGTGAACTAGCAAAAGAACCTGTCACGTTTCCCCGAATGGCTTCTTCTAGTTCTAGGACACTCCAGCAACAAAAGGCTGGGCATGTTTTACCTTAATACATTCTCTGTATTAAGGTAAAAAACACCCAGTACCTTTTTGAGTCCCCTGTCCCCCCCCACACTTACCTGTCAGCATCGCTTGTCACCGCGGTCCGTTCCCAAAGCGATCCTCTGTCCGAACTTCCTGGTTGCGGGTGAGGAGATTGAGGACAAAGGAGCCATAGGTTCCTTCTGCTGTCAATCAAGCTGTTGGGCTGAGAGGAGGGGGCGTGGCCTGCCGCACTGCTGTGTGCGTCTATGGACGCACACAGCCACATGCGGGCACGGCTGGGCATGAGTGCCTCCATAGCTCAGCTTAGCTGATGGAGCCACCCATGCAGGCGCTGCGGGGAGCTACTAGAAAACGAGGAATTAAACATTTTTAATAAAATACACCAAACAATTTCTTGATGTATTTCTTTATGTATGGGCCTCATATTTATAAACATAAAACAAAACATGAATCTTTAATCGTACATGGAACAATTACCTGTGATTAGGGATAGATGACTGCAGACATTTTGCATCCAGGGAGAAACATCTATCCCAAACCGCAGGTAATCATTTTATGTACGATTACTTGTAGACAGACGCTGACAGATGCAGCCGATGTCAGCCTGTCATTTACTTGAACGGGTACAGTGGTTGCATCTGTATGGACACACCGGGATATCTGCTGCATGAATCCGTGGGTACTTGCCGCAGGAATCCCTGAATGTAGCCTAAAAGTACTGTGCATGCTTCATATAACACAGCACAGTGGCACCTGTTAGTGCCAACCTTTTAAAACTTGCAGAAAGAAAAGCCATTTTGTGCAAGACTAGCAGACTCTTATAATGAGTTAGGAGAACATCCTACCCAGTGAATACACAATATGAACACCATAAAATGTTAAAAACGATTCTAGAAGCAGAACATACAATTCATTGATTGAAACTGCAGTGCCTCTGTGAATATAAAAACCCATGGTAAAAATAAAATCAAACTCTATGTGCAACAACTACTTAGAAGGAAGGTATCAGGGCATCTGAGCTGTTAAAAGGCTTTTGTGAAGATACAATGTCTCACCTTTATGTAGTACTTCAATGCTCCTCTGTAGAGATAAACTCTTACACTGTGTGGCTGGACTTTAATTGCAGCATTGCAGTTCATGATGGCTTTGGAGTATCTCTTTCTGAATCCATAGAACGCTGCTCGGCACAAATAGGCCTGAATTAGGAAAGTACATTGTGAAGGTAAGTGGAAAGTGAACAGTAAAGCCTTGCATTAATCAGCTGATGAACAAACTATGCCCCAACTACACATAAACCTAACAAAGCACAAACATGACATCCACCTAATGCTTTCCGCTTATATAGTCTAGTTAATAACAGAACTATGTGCAGAGTGTTACTTTGTCTCCCATATGGCCAGGGAACAATATTTAGATAATACAATTCATGGGTAGCTTTAGGCTACAGTAAAATTACTCTAATCTATCATTCACAGGCCCATGTTAATTTATTATACTACACAGGCTAATGGACTGTTACAAAATATACAGCATAAAAGAAAAGCTGTAATTAGTATATTTTTCTTCTTTCTTCCAGCTTATAAAAATCCTCTTTGGACTGCAATTTGCCAGTTGCTGGCTTGTTTATAAAAGATACAGACTGCAAGTCTATCATCATGATCTTCAGTTCACTACCTAATGAGTCACCAACCTGGAACACAATTACAGCCAATGATGACTGAAAAATCTACACTTCTGTCCTGTGATCAGCAAATATCTGAATCAGTAAATTAAATACAAAATAACTCCCCACTCCATAAAGCTGTCATCCAGTGCCATGATTTGCTATTAGTGCTCCTGTCTGCAGAAAGATCCATGCTAGAGTACCTCAAACAGATCCAATAAAAACATCAACATTTCTAAAAGTGGAAGTTAGCATACTACATGGTATGCCCTTGTGACCAGGCTCAGACCTGGCTGCGCAATCACTGGGCATTCCATTGTGGAAGCTAGGAAGTCTATGCATATATACCCCACATGTAGATTTTCAGTGAGTCTGCAGAGCAGATAGTGGTGGCGTACAAGAGCACTACTGACAATGTTATGACAGTGAAGGGTTCCTGATATGCGTCAGTGGGTTATTTTGTATTTGTTTTGCTGATGACAAGTACAAAAAGTACACTAGTTCATATGGGAGACCAAAGACAATTGGAGTATGGCCCCATTCAAGTTTATAGGGGATCACTGCAGTTGCGGCCAGAAAATGTCCACCCAGACTGTGTAAAGCAGCAGTAAGCAGCTGAAAGGGGGATTTTTAAAGGAGGATGGACAAGTCCATGTTTTACTAAAGCCCCTTTCACAGTATCCTGTTGCGTTCCCAACAGGTCTCCATGTCAGAAAAATACTGAACGGACACATATGTCACACATGGGTGAAATTCGTTCCATTCTGCTCCAATCAGCAGGGGATCTGTGCTGATCAGAACAGATGGAGACCGCATGAAAGGGGCCGAAAAGTTCATATAACTTTTAACTTGTGTTATCTGTCCCCTGCTGTCAATGTCTGCTTCTACCTTCACGTTCTCTCTCCACCTTCACCTCTCTCCTACCTGTACTGATACGTGGAGAATTATCTGTCATCTGGAAGCCCAGACTATTTCTACAAACTGAGAGATAATGGCTCACAGGAACCTTTACACTATGTATGTGATAGTCATTGTTACATTACCTGGAAATGTGTTGGGTTGATTTCAAGAGCCCTGTTGAAATCTTGCACGCAGTTGGCTTGCTGCAGATGCATACGACACAATCCACGTTGATAATAAGCGTCGCAATAACCTGATCTGGCTTTCACTGCACTAGTCAGAGCCTCGAGTGCCTGAAACCCCAGGAAGCTGATGTCAGTAGCCAGAAATGCACTATACTCAAAAAGTTATATATTATTCCAAGATGCCTGTTTAGACCTTATGATTCAAGATAAAGGAGCACCAGATACAGCCATACACAAGAAGATTTTACTGAGAAATATAGAGAATGATACAACTGGTTTGTGTATGTGACATGCAGTGATCACACTGAGGAACCAGTGTATGTGTTGAAATTCATTGGGGTTGATTTACTAACCTTATAAACACACCACGAACATGTATACACCTCTGTAGTGTGTTCCCTCCCAGCATGATCTATGGGTGGAATCTAAACACCTTTGTAGTGTGTACACACCCAGCAGGTGTGTTGTGCAAAGCCTTGCATGAATTGCAAGGTGATGTTGTGTAAATTAGCTCTATGTTGTGTTGCTTGCGTTGATGAATGCAGGAATGTAAATGCATGAGCTAACCATTTTTGTCTAAACTGTGAAGCAGCATTATATATGCATCATGTGCATGATTTTTCCATATATGGCATTAGTGGAAATATGCTTTTAGAGACTTTTTGGTTGATAAATACGTTTTGCTGTGTGAAAATCACACGCACCTGGTGCGTGCGTGTGTTTAGGTTAGTAAATCACCCCCATTGAATGGATTAGACATAAAAATACAAAAATATTAATATACAATAATGAATTTGTATATTCGTCCACGAAAATGCCCCGATCGGGGATGATCAGGCGGCTATGGGCACCGGAACCATTGGCACAGGGACGCGGTGGAGGGGAAGGGAGAGAAGGTGCACAGTCACCTAACGAAGCGCCGCGTCCGGAATGCCGCGGAGACCAGACGGCAGGAGACATGGACGGACAAGGCAGCTCACCGGCATTCTCAGGGACCTCAGAGGACTCGCAACAAGGTACCGCAATATCGCTACATACACACATACACATCTTTGGTAACCAAATACTCAAGGTGAGGCTGAACCAGTGATTTATAAAGTGGTAAAAGTATATTTTTATCCCTTGCTGAAATCCCTTTTTTGATGCAGGATAGAATCCTGCTTGCTATTGCATACTATTGCTGAATTCAAAGATGATTTTAGGATTTACAGCTGACTGATACACAAATAAGCTAAATTTTTGTTAATAGTTATGGTACTAGAATGCATTTTTAAGGCTTAACTCCTGGGTTTAGTGTGCTGTCTGATGCCAGGTGTGCAGCTGCCGCATGGCCACATGCTGAATATCTTCCAGCAGATGGTGCAGGCCTAGGTAATATAAGAGATACACAGCTGCCACCTTCCTCCCTCAGAACTACACTTCTTGTAGGGTATAGCAAGGGTGTAGATCTGCAATTTTACAGAGTGAAAGCTACCCTTATACTTAAAATTACAAACAATAATTCCCAATAATAACAAAATAAAAGAATTTTGGGAAATTGCAGAAACCTAGCATGGCACATATTTATTTATATGTAAAATAGCTGAACCATTTATCTCTCGGTGATCAGGAGTGTAAATAAAAGGACAGATGAGACACTTTGATGAGATGAGTAGGGAATTCAAGGCCTACAGAATTACAGATTTGGGCATAAAGCAAACCAGTACTTCCAGGTATGAATGAGCATGTGGCTCACTCCCCTTCCTCACATATGACATTGCTGGTGCTTGGTGTTTGGTCCAGACTGTCACAAAGAGGTGTGAAGGGAGTCCTCAACCATGTGTAAGTTCTGACTAGAGCAACTTGGTTCTTGTACCGGTTTACTCTCCTTACTTTTAGATGCTAATTGATGTACATATTTATTTACTATGATCCACAGCTCCATATAGTGCCATATAGTGAATGTAATGTAATGGTAATACATTGCATTTGACCTGAAAAGAAAATCTACTAAGAACTTTCATGTTTGCCTATTCACACAGATTTACAGGGCAAATGGCTCTGCAGATTATTTATAAATAGACTCCTAAATGTTCCCAGAAATCCAGGTCACCCGACAATTGTTAGAGATATCCCAGGGATAGGTTATGCCTTTTTCATGAAAATTTATCTCGATTATAGTAAATCTTTATTTTTTACCCCAATAGCTATTAAGGGGTCTATTCACGAAGCTGCCGAAGGATCTGGCCGTAGCTTCGGCCGATCCTTCAGCTAGCTTCGGCCCCAGGACCCCTTCGGTTCAGTAGAAGCAAAGGGGTGCTGTACGGGCTATTCACAATAGCCCGTACAGCTCCCGATCATGGCCGAGCGGCTCAGCCAAGCCGAACGCATATTGCTCCGCACAATCGTTTTCTATTTACTTTTTTTTACTTTATTGTCTCTCTTTCTGTTCTGCTCGGTCCCTCTGAGGGACCGAGCAGAACAGCCGAGCCGAATGCCGCACAGCGGCATTCGGCTATTAGCTCACTGCTGTTCTGCATTTTTAAGAATAGCCCGAACAGCAGTGAGAAGCCTGCCGGAGGTTCGGCTCAGCCGATCCAGATGTTGGATCGGCTGAGTCGAACTCCTTCTGCACTGCGGGTCCGACCCGAAGCCACTCGAAGCAAGCCGATGTACGGCTGATTTCAGCCGATGTACGGCTGAAATCAGCCGTACCAGCCTGAAGTGAATAGCCGAACAGTGTTCGGCTCACTTCACTTCAGATCGGTCATTCACTCGGCTGCCCTCGGCAGCTTGGTGAATAGACCCCTAAATATTTACATATGTTACTGAGCTTTCTCTCTGAATAAATAACATCAGCTAAGTCGATTTTCAGAAACTGAACCTTATAAACACACGTTGCAAACTTTTCACTGCAGTGTTAATGTGTTCCAAAAAAACACTTAAGGTGTAAGTGTAATGGAAGTGCTATTCCTCACAGTGTGTGACATATGTAGTTATGCAACAGCATTATAGGCAAAAACAGCAGCCAAATATTGTAGAGTCTCTGTGCTCCGCTCACCTGTAAGAATTTGAACTGCTCCATGTAGCAAAGACCCAGCAGGTAGAAGATTTCTGCCCTATCAGAAGTGGATGACCTCTCATCCGAATGACCCATTATTTCCAAAGCCTGTCTGAAGCTTTTAGCGGCATCCTATTAAATGATGCAAATCAAAGAATGTTATTCTTCTGCACTGGGTAATGCTACATCAGATTATAGTGTCAAGGCACTAACATAAAGTATATCAAATGACAACATTTATCCTTGGATATAGATAGAATGGTTAAAGCCTGTTTTTTGATCCCATAAAGGAGATTTATCTTCATTTCCTGTCCTGGGCACAACACAACAGGAATTGAGAAGAAATCCTTCCAAATTGAAGGAAACTCCTCTCTCAGACAGTTGTCACCAGACAAGTGTCCCCATTGGAGTTTTTTCTTTCCATTTCTGCTTTGGTGACAACTGTAAACCCTTGAATTTCCAATCGCTTCCAATAGTTTGGATTAGGACACCTAACAGTTAAAGGTTAATAGCATCACCAATAGACACAAGTAACATGGTGAAATGATCAGTCTTGAGACCTGATGCTAATATTTGGTAACCATTACATCTTAGTATAAATTAATACTGTAATTCAGTATTTTTCAAACAGAAATATGCTCTGATCTGTCAGGTTCAATATGCAACATGGTCCAAAAGGTAACTTAGCCTTTTCAAAAAGATGAGATATTGATCCTGTAAAAACAAACCTACCAAAAACAAAACAGGACCATAAGGTCAACAAAGTATTTACAGACTTCCATGCATGCCAATGACCCTTAAAGAATCTAAAACATGAGGAAATAAAAAGCTATTGTGAAGTAAATTATTGTAAATAATAAAGAGTTCATGCTTCCAAGGCAAATTCTTTTTCTTTGTTTTCACATATTTTATTGCATTTAAATAAGGCAGTTAATGATATTCACCTTGTTTTTCCTTGACTTCATTTGAATTTTTCCTAAGAGGATCATCAGTGCCGGAGTTGGCTTCTCTTTATTGGCAGAAACCAAATATTCAATTGCATTGCTGTACTGCCTGCGGAAGGACTGGACCAAGGCTTGCTGAACCGGTGAGGAACCTTATACATAATAAATAAGGGATGAGACTCCATTTTGTATAAGACACTAGGGAGAGTATATTTGTATGTACTTCTACATCCTTCCATTGTAGTTATTACAATTGTACAATTTTTTGGAAACATACAAACACCTGTTGTCAAAATTTAAAGTGAAACAGAACTCCAACAATGAATTTCTCTTATTTGCTCTCTTGTGATGTATTAAATATAGCATTGAAAGCATTTTGTTATATCTGCTCAATCAGTGCAAAAAATACCTGTTGATCCTGCCAGAAATCCAACTCTGCAGTCTTCTCAATGTTTTCAGCCCTGCCCAGTAGTCTGAGGACTACAGAAAATCCCACCCCATGTTATAAAGATGAGAAGAGGGGGAGGAGTTCTGTAATCTCCATAGATTCAGTACAGTTCTCCATAGATACAGTACGGTGAGCGAGTATTGTCCCCCTAAGACACGAAGTGTATTCCTGGAAGGATCACCAGGAGAGAAAAAAAAAACAGATGTTCTAACCGTTCTACACTTGATTTAAGCCTAAACAAAGTTATGGCTGGAGATACACTTTAAAGTAACTCTGTCACTAGTAAAAGAAATTGAACCCTGACTGCTTCATCACTATTATGTCTTATAGTAATGTAGCAGTCAGAAAGAGGGACCACTGTGCACAATGGAAGCACTCTATTGGACACACCTGGAAGTTTAGCAGGGGTGCCCGTAGCTCTGCAACAGAGTGAAGAAAATGGCCAGCACACCGGTAATCCTATGATGAATTTTACTTACGGATGCATGTCAAACAGAGAAACCGATTTTTACATTTTACTAAAAAGACATACTTTTGCAGGGCTCACCTGCCAGTATTGCAGAGGATTATAGTAAACACACAGACCCCTAGCTGTTTCTAAAGTCACCGAGACACAGATCTGGCATTCCTATTTACAAACAATTTACAGAGCCATTCATCCTGCGTATCTATCTGAACAATCGATCTGTCTGAATATATGCAAAAACAAACATTCTTAGATATATTTTCTTTTCAGGTTGATTGTATGTAATGTGATACTTCATTTTAGACCTGAGATGGAGCTGAGGAGCATAGGTAATAGGTATTTATTTCCTATGGTCCTCAGCTCCATCTATGGTCAAAATTTAGCATTACATTACATACAATCAACCTGAAAAGAAAATATATCTAAGGTTTATTTTTGTGTCCATTCGCTTAGAATAAACTTTCAGAAAGATTGGTAGGGTGAATGGCTCTGCAAATTGGTTCTAAATAGACCCCTTAGTGTTCCACAGAAAGGATTATTGTTTCTCTGATATTACAGCCCGATTTTGTTAGGGGACAGCCAGGCAGGCAGAGCTGTGTAAACCTCAGGACTGGATGGACTGCAATGCAAACAGCTCTATATGTATTTAGCTGTTTGCCTGGTATTCAGCTTTAATGATTTAAAAATCTTGTTTCTATATATAGTTCTTAATTAAAGAGGTACATTGGGCAGCCATATATGCTTTTCACATACACAGTATACATATGTAAAGATAATGATAATATTGCCTACCTTGAGTCATCTCAGCTGCATGGTAAATGCAGAAGCTGGCAAGATCATATTTCTTCATCTCATACAGATACTGTCCCCTGCAGGAGGCAGACATTGTAATGCACTAATGACCGACATGACCTTTATTTTATTAATAACAGCGCAGTAATAATGAAATGTGACCTTTCTGAACTGATTATACTGGCTGTACCCTGTGGCTCTCATTAAAAAAAGCAAAAAACAATACATATATATATA